GAACTTGCCTAGCTTATACTACAGGACGGGCAAGGGGGACCTAGTTGAGGTTTATAAGCATCTCAGGGGCACTACTCAGTTGAGTGTCCTTACTTGGGCTGGCGGCGCCGCCCCAAGGGGTCACAGCTCAAGAGAAGAAGCGCAGTCCGGAAAAACCGTGAGGGGCAAACTTTCGGGTGGGGTTGTAAACTCTTGGAACAATCTACCAGAAAGTGTTGTAGCGGCACAGGTGTGAGCTCTTTCAAGAGAAGACTTGACCAACACTGGAGCGGGTTCAGGTACATTCAAGAACCGTGCATGCCCAGTATTTGCCAACAGTGCGTGACAGAGACGTGACCCGATCGCCCAGGCTTCATGAGCCACGACCTTTTGGTGAAAGAATATAAAGGAAAAGAGTCGTGACCGATCGCCCAGCGGCTAACAAGCCGATCAGTGGCGAAGAGGATAAAAGTAAAAAGTAAAAGTGAACATTTTCTAAAAGTTAGGTAGGTTTCTTTGGTTGGTTAGGTCAGTTGGTTAAGGTTAGGTAGGTTTCATTCTGGTTGGTTGGGTCAGGTTAGTTAAAGTTAGGTAGGTTTCATTGGTTGGTTAGGTCAGGTTAGTTAAAGTTAGGTAGGTTTCTTTTGGTTGGTCAGGTCAGGTTAGTTAAAGTTAGGTAGGTTTCATTGGTTGGTTAGGTCAGGTTAGTTAAAGTTAGGTAGGTTTCTTTGGTTGGTTAGGTCAGGTTAGTTAAAGTTAGGTAGGTTTCTTTGGTTGGTTAGGTCAGGTTAGTTAAAGTTAGGTAGGTTTCTTTGGTTGGTTAGGTCAAGTTAGGTAGGTTTCTTTGGTTGGTTAGGTCAGAGTTAGGTAGGTTTCTTTGGTTGGTTAGGTCAGGTTAGGTAGGTTTCTTTGGTTGGTTAGGTTAGGTCAGGTTAGTTAAAGTTAGGTAGGTTTCTTTGGTTGGAGTCAGCTGTGAGTATAGACACCACCTCTCAGCATGGGTAGTAACATATCATAATGAAGAGAAAAAATATCAATGTTACGTTACCTAAAATACGGCATAAGACATACAATATTAGTAACACTTATTTCCACTGCTCTTATTTATATATTTACAGCAAATGATACACACACATTACCCACTAATAAGGCATAAAATAAGTTACACATGAGTTTAAAGTTCTCAGTACACAGGATGGAGAACAACTTACCATTATTATCAACGTACTCCTTGACAGCAACCCAGTCTTCACCAGACACTTGTAACAGCTGCCTCACCATTCCTCTTGTTTCTTTTATGGAATAACTTCTTTTTAAATCTAAAGTTACGAATATTTTGGAGTTTCTGTTTTCTCCTTGTATTGACGCCATTTGGATGGTGAACCAGACCCAGTGAATAAACATGGATGGCAAGAATAAAATAACTTGTCAAATACCTCCTGGTGTTTCATTTTCCGTTAAATGGTCATTAAAATTAATAATTCATTATATTTCCTCGTCTTCCGTATGTTATTATTGTTTTCGTTGAATTAGGGTTAATATTCATCCGTATTTATTCCCTCATGTCCTTTAACCTTTAAATCTCTGTCAGGCGGAATTTTTAAAAACATATCAGTCCTTTAAACGTTTGGGATTTTGCCCTTAATATTCTTCCCTATGGGTTTTGATGCGAAATTGGCCATTATATAAAATTAAGAATGAAATAATTGATTCTTGAGATGCATACGGTGTAGTGGATTTCTCCCCTACAAACACTTGTACCTGAGTAGCTGACCCAGGTGTGTGCCTCGTGGTCTGGGTCAACCAGCGCCGCCATACATCACGGAGGTCAACTACCCCCGCTATTTAAGACCTGACCTCGTGGTGATCTCTCTTTCTACCTACACCAACCAGCTCTCCCTACATCACACTTGTAACCATGCTGCCTTCCCAGCACCAAGCTGCATTGTACATCCAGGAGGATAACGATGACGTGCATGACATCCTCTGTTGTGACCTGTGATGCAGCAAGCTTCAGCAGCGCCTCTGTCCAGTTCTGGGTAGACAGTCCATATTGCCCAAGCAGTCTTTTTTACCTTGACCAGAAAAACTGGACACAGTGTCGCACCCTGTCAGAGCATGGAACATACTGTAGGCAGTGCCCGCACCTTCTCTGATCCCAGACATGGTGCCATTTCGTGAGCTGCGAGAGAATGGAAACTCTTGCCAGTGCTAACCACAGTTCATCTTCTTGGTGCGTCCCTGGACCCCTGAGACAGCCAAAACCACGACATCAGTATCTTATGGTGGCCACGCTGGGCTGCTGCAGAAGGACTGACAATCTCCTTGGTGTGAAGGGCCACCACATCCAGGCTTTCCTCCTCAAAAGGTTTACCAAGCTCTTCTTTCACACTGACCACCACCACAGACAACAACAACTCTAGTGCATAAATTGAAGCGATCAGACGGGTAACATACTGTTTAATTAGACTAATTAGTCTAATTACGCTATTATTTATATACGAATATAATAAAATAATTCACTTAGTAGTTTGAGTCCTTTTGCAGTGAATTAAACTCCACTGCCAACATACAATCACACCCAGCTGGATGATTAAGTAAAATATCAGTAATTGTTGGTGACCATTTTGGATAATGGCTGCAGCTAAATCTGCGGTGGCACCACATCCAGAGCTGTTCACTATATGTAAGTTAACATGTGGGCCAAATTTGGAGCTTTTATCACAAAATGCAATAGTGAGGTTATGTCACCTCTTCCACTGCGCTAATTTCAACGTATCTCCCCGAGTGCCGGCAGCGTTTCTTCAAGATATCTCTATTTAATACTTTATTTTGTTATCCGTAAACACAAGTGTAAAGTTACTTCACTTCATAACTAAAGACAAAATTCAATTGTTTCTAAGCTGACTATAAATGATTTACAAACTCCTATGGATTCAGACAAGAACAAGACAGTCAGTTTGAGGGGAGACTAATTATTTTGAACATAGGTAAAGTCTCACTAAGTTACTAAAGTAAGTTTATTTGTTTATTCAAGACCAATAAACATTTACCGCGCAAACCAATGTTTATTGACACAAACTATGTTATTAATCTCGGGTTACGTATTAATGAAATCATAATTATTACCATATATTAACGCTTATTATTTGCATATATAAAAAAGACATACAAATAAAATATATTAATATAGATGATTAGCATATTAGTATATATAATAGACCTAAAATAAAGGTGATAGGTTTAATAATAGACATAAGGGTTCAGAATGATTAATTTATGAGGTTTACAAAGTGGTTAATTAAATAAGTAAATAGTTGGGTAAATAAGTAAGTAATGAATAAGTAAATACCTAAGTAGATAAGTATATAAATAAGTTAATGAATTAGTAAAACAGTAACTAAGTCAATATATACGTAAATAGTAAGGTAATGAATAAATTAGTAAATAAGTAAATACGAATCTAACTACGAAATAAGTAAGGTATCAAGTACGTAAATTAAGTAATTAATTAATCAAAACAATTCCTATAGGCCTGAGTTTACATAGGCCTATTGATAATTATAGACTTAAGATTTATTATTATTATTTGTTGTTGTTGTTATTATTGTAATTGTTACTGCAGTTGTTGTTGATTATTATTATTATTATTATTATTATTATGAAAGTTAAAATTGGTTCCTGTAAAACTATTGTATTTCTTCTGATATATATTTGTAAGAACCATTCTGTATTTTATATTAATAGACATTATCCTACGCTATATTAGTTAGGGTTAGGTTAATGTTCTTTAGTGTCAAGTGCGAGTTATATAATGATCGGGGGGATTCCTTATTCATACGTTATATTATTTCTGTGGTGGAAGATGTGAGAACGTATCTGGCGTTACCTGATGCGTTCTTGTATCTATATCAAAGAATAAAATCGTATGAATCATTGAAATTCCGGATCTTGTGCAACGAAATTAAAAAAAAACCTACGCGATAATAAAGAGACTATGAGCCTATCATTTATCATCTTATAAAACAAACTAAATATACTCGAGGTCTTACAAATGGGGGGAAGTTTTTATAACACCCTGGATATATAGTCTGTATACAGTCGATAAATTTATTTTTTTGGAAGAAGTGTTAACTTATATAGAAAAAATACTTTGAGCTATTGAAAATGTCCAAAGGAGGGCCACCAGACTGGTGCCTGCACTACGGCACCTCAGCTACCCTGAGAGATTGGAGCGCCTGAACTTGCCTAGCTTATACTACAGAAGGGCAAGGGGAGACCTAGTTGAGGTGTATAACTCAACAGTATAAGCATCTCAAAGGGCACTACTCAGTCGAGTGCCCTGGCGGACGCTCGCCCCACAAGGGGTTACAACTCAGGTTGTAGAAGCGGCAAGTCCAGAAAACTGTGAGGGGGTAACTTTTTCGGAGTGAGAGTTGTGAACTCTTGGAATAATCTGCCAAGTGTGTGCTTTTTCAAGACCAGACTTGACAAGCACTGGAGCAGGTTCAGATACAGGTGGAGCCGGTGCATGCCCAGTACTTGCCAACAGTGCATAACAGAGACGACCGATTGCCCAAGCGGCTAACGAGTCGATCAGTGGTGAAGAGGATAAAAGTAAAAAGAGTGCGCATCCCACTTAGAGAGGCTGGTTGTCCCGACGATAAACAAACAGGTCTTAAAAGCTTGGTTTCTTGAGTCGCCTGGGTGTTGGTGATACGTTTGTATTGTGGGGAGGTGGTGTGTGGGGGAGGTGGTGTGGGGGAGGTGGTGGGTAGGGGGTAGGTGGTGGTAGGGGCAGGTGGTGGCAGGTAGGTGGTGGGCAGTGGTGCGGTGGGGTAGGTGGTGGTAGGTGGGGAGGTGGTAGGTGGTGTGGGGAGGTGGTAGGTGGTGGGTGGGTGGTAGGTGGTGTGGGGCAGGTGGTGGGTGGGGTAGGTGGTGGGTGGGGGTAGGTGGTGGGTAGGGGGTAGGTGGCAGGTGGTGTGTGGGGTAGTGGTGGGTAGGTGGGGGAGGTGGTAGGTGGTGTGTGGGGGAGGTGGTAGGTGGTGTGTGGGGGGGGGGGTAGGTGTGCAGTTGTTGTGATAGTAGTGTCATATCAAAAGGCAAGCTATCATCACTACCACATTCCACCACAACCACCACCACCACCTCTACCACACTACAACAGATGTCATTTCTCAGGCTACAGCTGTCACTACAGAGGCTTGGTAAACACCTGTGGAAAACCGAAGACTGAGTCACTAACATTATTAGAACATTATTGTACTTGAAGAAAGAAACACGTTAAGTCTTTGAAAGAACAAAACACAATAGACAAATAAACAAGTGGATAATTAAGAATATATTAAAATGCGAATAAATATAGATTGATAAAAGAAATACAGATATTATTATTGAATTAAATTGATGAAAAGTGTGTGTGTGTTAACTTACCTGGCGCCCATTCAGGGGTTGGACGGGCCTGAAGTTCATCTTAATAAGTTTACCATCTTCCTCCTCCAACATCCGCAACTTGGCCAGCTGTAAGACGGTGAGAGTGTGTGTATGGTAACATCTACACTCACTCTCTAACTTAGGAAATATACTGTTATCCCACGAGTCAAGGAACATTTAATGGCCAATCACCGTCCACTATACAAATCATCACTCATATACAAATTAATAACCAATCACTGACGAGAACCTTTCCCCCACGAAAACCCAACCAATCAGCCATCAACTTAGCGATGTTTTATTACCAAATAAACAACAAAATGACTTACCTGAGCAGAAGAGATGGTAATTGGATCTCTAAAGACAGTCCAGATGACGATTTCATTACAGGTAGGGGTGGTGAGGGAGCCACTGTATCGGTAGAACTTGAGTAGGTTCTGAGGCAGCAATTTGAGTAGAGGGAAGCTGTTGATGGTTGTATGCGTGTCTGTCAGGTGTACGAGAGGCTGTGGTAAATTGGTGAACACACACACACACACACACCAACACCCACACACACCAACACCCACACACACCAACACCCACACCAACACCCACACACACCAACAACACCCACCACACACACCAACACCCACCCACACACACCAACACCCACACACACCAACACCCACACACACCAACACCCACCCACACACACACAATTCAACACCCACCCACACACACACCAACACCCACCCACACACACACACACCCACACCCACCAACACACACACCAACACCCACACACACCAACACCCACCCACACACACCAACACCCACCCACACACACCAACACCCACCCACACACACACAACACACACCCACACACACACACACACACCCACACACCCACACACACCAACACCCACACACACACACACACTCAACACCCACACACCAACACCCACACACACACACACACACACACCCACCCACACACACACACACACCCACACACATACATACATACCAGCATGGATGACGGACGGTAAACCCTCGATAAGACTCCATAAGTTGGGATTATCCACATCAGTAGCCTCAAGGAAGACTCCCAGTACTGCTATCCCGTCCACGTGTTTGATTGCCTCTGCCACGTTACCATACTCCGTCTTGAAGTGCACCAAGTGTAGCTCTCCCGCGTAACTGTAAGAAGTGAGACCTCTTTAGTGATTGGCTAGTGTTCTTAGATGATTATGAGACGTGAGGTTTGATTGGCTGATGTTTCTAGATGATTATGAGACGTGGGGTTTGATTGGCTGGTGTTTCTAGATGATTATGAGACGTGGGGTTTGATTGGCTGGTGTTTCTAGATGATTATGAGACGTGGGGTTTGATTGGCTAGTTGTTCAAGTGATTATGAAATTCACTAAAGGACCCCTCACAACCCCATCACAACTCGCCAGCAGCCCACAACCCCTCACAACTCACCAGCAGCCCACAACCCCTCACAACTCGCCAGCAGCCCACAACCCATCACAACTCGCCAGCAGCCCACAACCCTCACACACAACTCACCAGCAGCCCACAACCCCTCACAACTCGCCAGCAGCCCACAACCCTCACAACCGCCAGCAGCCCACAACCCTCACAACTCACCAGCAGCCCACAACCCCTCACAACTCTGCCAGCAGCCCACAAACCCCTCACAACTCACCAGCAGCCCACAACCCCATCACAACTCACCAGCAGCCCACAACCCTCACAACTGCCAGCAGCCCACAACCCTACCACAACCTCGCCAGCAGCCCACAACCCTCACAACTCCGCCAGCAGCCCACAACCCCTCACAACCTCGCCAGCAGCCCACAACCCCCTCACAACTCACCAGCAGCCCACAACCCTCACAACTCACCAGCAGCCCACAACCCCATCACAACTCAAGCCAGCAGCCCACAACCCCATCACAACTCACCAGCAGCCCACAACCCTCACACAACCTCGCCAGCAGCCCACAACCCCTCACAACTCGCCAGCAGCCCACAACCCCATCACAACTCGCCAGCAGCCCACAACCCCTCACAACTCACCAGCAGCCACAACCCCTCACAACTCGCCAGCAGCCCACAACCCCATCACAACTCGCCAGCAGCCCACAACCCCTCACAACTCACCTTTTACCATCGACAGTGTGTTCAGAGCCGACCGTATCATCAGCGCCCCAGTGCAGGTGAAACTGAAGAAAAGTATAAGAGCCTTGTAATCCGCCTCCTATCACTGATGGCATTGGTAGACCGTCGAGCATGTCGAAGTTTACTTGTGCTGTGGGAGGAGAGATATCGGGATAGTGGTTATAATGTATTTCTTTGTCTATCTGTCTGTCTATCTATCTATCTATCTATCTATCTATCTGTCTGTCTGTCTATCTCTCTCTCTCTCTCTCTCTCTCTCTCTCTCTCTCTCTCTCTCTCTCTCTCTTACAACCAAGAATTGGAAAATCTCAAAACTAACCAATCACGATCTAGGAGCACCCTAAAAAACTAACCAATCACGTACCAGTATGTCCATTATTCATGAGGCTGGTTGTTGCGGCTTTTTTGTTGTAATTAGTAAATAAGAATGGCAAATAGATTGTGGATTGGGCATTGGCCGTCTCGATGTTGACTGGAGATTGGGAGTCACCGCCACATATCGGGAAGAATTTCGGCCAATTCTCCGGACCTATGGAGACACATATGTGGGTTAGTGATACATATGTGTTTTAATTTAGAACACATATGTAAAATAAGGACACATGTGGATTAATTAAAGACACATATGTATTAATTAAATGGGTCCTTATAAGCTTACAAACACATGTGTAAGTTAGAGACACATATGAGGTAAACGGTAGGGTGGAAACAGAAGGAAGAAGAACGTAGATAAAGAGAGAGAGAGAGAGAGAGAGAGAGAGAGAGAGAGAGAGAGAGACAGACAATAAACAGACAATAACCAAAGACGATAACCAAAACAAAAACAATAACTAAACATAACCAAACAAGAAATAAGATACTAAACTGAATAAAGATAAGAGAAACAGATAGAAACAAAGATAACAGTAATAATTATCGACCTCTTACCTGTTTCCCCAGTATAACTCCAGTGAGGTGTCAGGCTGTCACCAAACACCTGAAAAATACTCATATTATATACCTGTTCGTTACCTGGCTGTATGCTAATTAGAATGTTGAGGTAATGTTGATGATAAACATTTTTGATACCTGGGGATAATTTCTAATGTGTATATGTAATGTTTATTTGGATGTTTATAAATGTAATGCTGATTTTGGTGTGAAATGTTTATATAAATGAATATTACTATACTACTACTACTACTGTACTACTACGACTACTACTACGATTACAACTACTACTACTACTACGACTACTACTACTACTACGATTACAACTACTACTACTACGACTACTACTACTACGATTACAACTACTACTACTACGACTACTACTACTACGATTACAACTACTACTACTACGACTACTACTACTACGCAGTGCTGTCGTTCTGTCGTAATGGACCTACGAATCTTGTTTACTTCACTGGTATCCACCTCCCCTGTTGCGTTCTGGGCTATTATGTGGTCCGTGAGGGCTGCCGTGAGCTTAAGTGAATTTTGATGTTCGGTGGCTGCAATCTCCTCTGGACTGATTAGTCCCATCCCTCCCAGTCTTTATGGAAGTGCATGAGATGATCTTTCTGCTGGGGTTAAGTGAGGGTGTTTCACTAATTTGGGAATGAAATTAACTCTGATAGCTTCTTCCAGAGGGTGGAGGAGGGGTCCGATATCTGGGATAGTGCGCATCAGGTAGTTCCAGCGATGCTTGACTCCATGGGTGAATGCAGCAAAAGCCGTATGTGGCTCTGTGTTAGCAATCTCAGACAGAGCTTGGATTTCACTAACCCACTCATTCACCTTTCCCGCTACTACTACTACTACTACTACTACTACTACGACTACTACTACTACTACTACTACTACTACTACTACGACTACTACTACGACTACTACTTACCATACGGTCTCCTATGGGTTGTACAGGCCTGAAGTTGTCTATTAACTGTGCACCTTCTTCATCAATTAACTTCCTGAACTCATTCAGCTGGAGGTAAAATTAGCATAATAACATTAACACACAAATTTAACATTAAGTATCAATACACAATAACTGAAGTGATGTATTAACAGCAATTATCAATGTAGGTTAGATTTTTTAACACTAAATTAACGCTAATTGGACAGGTGTTGAGGTGAATTATATAACACTAATTGGACAGGTGTCGAGGTGAATTATATAACGCTAATTGGACAGGTGTCGAGGTGATTAATATAACACTAATTGCACAGGTGTTGAGGTGATTCATATAACGGTAATTACACAGGTGTTGAGGTGATTTAATGAAGGAATTTACCTGTTGTGATGACATGGAGATTGGCTCCTTGAAGACTGTCCATATGACGATCTCATTACAAGGAGGAGTAGTGAGGGACCCATCGTACCTGTAGAAGTCGTCAACGTTGTCTGGTAACAGGTCCTTGAGTGGGAAGGGCGTGATGTCTTCGTGGGATTCTGAGGAGGAAGTGTTGAAGGAGTATGAGTAACTGGCTAGAATAGTTACTGTCTGCCTGTTCCTCTCTTTTTCCATCTTCCTCCCTCCCTCTCTCTCTCTCTGTGTCTGTCTCTTTCTCTGACCCTTTTTCCATCTTCCTTCCTCCCTCCCTCCCTCCCTCTCTCTCCTCTCTCAGTACTCACCTGGTTCATGTATCTTAGCAAGGCCATCAATAAGAGACACCAGTTTATTATTATCTTCACTAGACACGTCAATCAGCACTCCCAGCACCGCCAGACCATCTTCATGTTTCACGGCTTCTGCTACGCTGCCGTATTCCGATTTGAAGTGTACCAAGTGTAGCTCTGCCGGGTACCTGCCATGAGAAGCGATATTATAGGAATGTGTAGTGTGTGGGGGGTGTAGTGTGTGGGGGGTGTAGTGTGTGTGTCTGGTGTGTGAGTGGTTGTTGATATGCGGTAAACTTGATATATTTAGTCTACAGAACATTTAAATTACCATAACATCATTACAGTCAGCATAAGGGCTCAACATACCCAACCTATTCCCACATACTCCACCCAGGTTCCCCACATACTCCACCCAGGGTCCCCCACATACTCCACCCAGTGTCCCCCCACATACTCCACCCAGGGCCACCACATATTCCACCCAGGGCCACCACATATTCCACCCAGGGCCACCACATACTTACTGCTTGCCATCGACCGTGTGTTCTGAGCCCCTGCTATCGTCACCTCCCCAGTGGAAATGAAACTGGAGGAAGGTATATTTTCCCTCCAAGTCACCGCCTTGTACTGTGGGCGCCGGATCTTGGCTAATCATCACCTGGGCTGTGGAGAGTTGAAAAGGTATTTGTGATTGTTTGAACTTTTTCAGTATGGTGATTTAACCCCTTGAGTATGGTGATTAAGCTTCTTCAGTATGGTGATTTAACTTCTTGAGTATAGTGATTTAACCTTCTCCCTCTCTCTCTCAACCTCATCCCACCCCATTAAATCACAAACCCAACCACACAACCACTGAACCACGTTACCTGCGTGTCCGTTGTTCATAAGGGTCATCATCGTTGGGGTGATATCGTAGTTCTTGAAGCCAAAGTGGAGCCAGTTGAAGCTCCCTTTGAGGTCAGAGGTCACGATGTTAATTGGAGACTGGCGGTCCAGGCCACAGATAGGGAAAGTCTTTGGCCAGTGGTCGGGTCCTGGGAAAGTGACGGTATGTAAGAAAGTGACGGGGAAAGTGGCGGTATGTTAGAAAATGACGGGAAAAGTGACGGGGAAAGTGACGCTACGTAAGAAAAGGACGGGGAAAGTGACGGTACGTTAAAAAATTATGGATAATAAAAAGGAGGAGAAATAATAATAATAATAATAATAATAATAATAATAATAATAATAATAATAGACTATAATTACCCGTCTCTCCGTGATAGCTCCACAGCACATCTGAAATATTAACACAAACACTAATTAGCAGGTGACCACACACAGCTGTACACCTACACCTGCATATCTACACAGCTGCACACCTACACCTGCATTACACATCTAAGTACACCTGCATATCTACACAGCTGCACACCTACACCTGCATAATACATCTATATACCTGTTCAAAAGTCCATCCAATATCCTCTACTGACAATACAACACAAAACTGAGGTGATAAAATTAATCTCTTATACACGTGTAGTGATTAACTGTAAATTAACTCTCATAGGTAAATAATATAGTTAACTCTTATGAAGTAATCGAACCTGTGTCTTGAGTAGTAGCTTTAGAAGGTCTTACCACACACCCACGACCAAAACACAACCTGTTGGTATACTGTGAACAAATGTTAATATTTGACTAATTCCAGGGTAACACACAAGCATCGTACTTCGGAAACCCATAGTTGGAGAGTAATTAACGTGAAAAATATCATTAAAATATTCCAAGCGGCTTAAAGCCACCAATTACCCCGCAATCGAATCAGGGACCATACTGTAGATTCAGAATCAGCATGCTCAGGAGTACCTATGCTCAGGAGTACCTATGCTCAGGAATACCTATGCTCAGGAGTACTTATGCTCTGGAGTACCGTCCGTTGTGGGTATGTATGTATGTATGTACGTATGTAAACACTAACACAAATTCTTACACAAAATAAATCATTATTAAATCTGTAAATAATAATGCAATTCTGTAAATAATGTAAATTGTATAAAATTATGTCTTTATTAACAAACAGACAGACCGACGTCACCGCGCGATGCCTCAAAGTCTTCAAGCAGACATAATAAAACACCATGAGTCGAAAGCTTAATTAGTTCAGCTTCATTGGTTCAGCTTAAGATGGGTCGTAATTAATTATGCATAAATGACTCGTAATTGGTTCAGCTTAAAATGGGTCGTAATTAATTATGCATAAATGACTCGTAATTGGTTCAGCTTAAAATGGGTCGTAATTAATTATGCATAAATGACTCGTAATTGGTTCAGCTTAAAAGATACGTAATTGGGGCGAAAATTGGCAACAGTGAAAAAGACTTCGATAAAAACTGATCCCGAAGGAAATTGGTGTTAAAATATAAACATCTTCCCAAGACACAAACAAACATATACAGTACATATAAACATTCTGAAACATTAATACACACAAACATACATCTATAAACATTCTGAAACATTAATACACACAAACAAACATCTATAAACATTCTGAAACATTAATACACACAAACATACATCTATAAACATTCTGAAACATTAATACACACAAACAAACATCTATAAACATTCTGAAACATTAATACACACAAATATAAATCTGAAAAGTAAACAAACATTAAACTAACATATTCAAAATTTTCAAAAATTTGATAAAAAACGTAAGTAAACTTCTAACTTGAGATTAAAACTTAAAACGAATTTGATCTTACCTTTAGAGGACAGGAATTAGTCAGGATATCCTTATAGGAGTCTCAGGGGGCTCCTATTCTCTCCTTGAGGAACCCCACCAAGTGTCCTGTCAAGGTGCAGCGAAGAATGACAAAAATGATTCCTGGACTTAGAAACCTTCCATATCAGGATAGGTTAAATAAACTTAACTTGCATTCCCTAGAAAGACGAAGAGTGCGGGGAGATATGATAGAAGTATTTAAGTGGGTGAAAGGAATCAATAAAGGGGATATAGATAAAGTTCTTATAATATCCGAGCAGGATAGGACTCGGAGCAACGGATTCAAGTTGGATAAGTTTAGGTTTAGGAGGGAGATAGGAAGAAACTGGTTCACAAATAGGGTGGTGGACGAGTGGAACAAGCTTAGCAACTTTGTAGTAAGTGCGGGAACTCTGGAAAGTTTCAAAATGAGGCTAGATAGATTCATGGATGATAGAGAGTGGTAGTAACTCTCGACAGGAGCTGCCATGCGCAGGCCAACAGGCCTATTGCAGACTCCTTATTTTCTTATGTTCTTATTACCAGACACGTGTCGGTATAGACAGGTGTGGTGAGGTCGATGGCTTCGTTCTGTCTGTCTGTCTGTCTGTCTGTCTGTATTTCATTCTGTCCCTTGGTGGATGTTGAGACAGACAGACAGACAGACAGACACAGAAAGTCTCACGTAGCAATCTTGACTAAACTTCATGTCACACCAATACAACAAAACTTCACCTTGAGCTTTGAGTTGTTTTGGGGGAACTTAGTCTAAAAAATTGTCTAAACTTCATTAAAAATGTATCTAAAACTTCTTTAACAACTTTTCTGAAACTTCATCCCAAATTTGTCTAAAGCTTCATTAAATTTTTTTCTAAAACTTCATAAAAAAAATTCGTCTAAAACTTCATAAAAAATTCGTCTAAAACTTCATTAAAATTTTTCTGAAATTTCTTTAAAAAAAATCGTCGAAAATTTCATGTAAAACTGAGGAAAGTTTCTTACCTGAAGTTCTGGTCGACTTACAACTTCCCCTAAAAACAAGATTAATATTAGAATTTTTGCCGCAGTTGAACTTCAAGCCTTGAGCCGTGTTAGGGTACAGTGTCTAGAGCCGTGTTAAAGACAGGATACAGTGTCTAGAGCCGTGTTAAAGATAGGATACAGTGTCTAGAGCCGTGTTAAAGACAGGATACAGTGTCTAGAGCCGTGTTAAAGATAGGATACAGTGTCTAGAGCCGTGTTAAAGACAGGATACAGTGTCTAGAGCCGTGTTAAAGACAGGATACAGTGTCTAGAGCCGTGTTAAAGACAGGATACAGTGTCTAGAGCCGTGTTAAAGACAGGATACAGTGTCTAGAGCCGTGTTAAAGACAGGATACAGTGTCTAGAGCCGTGTTAAAGACAGGATACAGTGTCTAGAGCCGTGTTAAAGACAGGATGCTGAGATGGACAGCTGCTAGGTGTCACCAGCTCGGCGTCACCACCACTACTAAGATCTGAACACTGCTTCCCCTCACCTGTTATTCTGAGGACAATGCCCTCACGCATGCGCAGTAGCTCTAGTACAGGTGGATGGGGCGTGGCTTCTCCCAACCCAAAATATAGATCATATGTAACTGATATATATACTACCGAGAGAGAGAGAGAGAGAGAGAGAGAGAGAGAGAGAGAGACTGGTACAGCATACTGTTTACCTGTAGATACGTACATACACTTCACCCTACTAAATCATTACACACACCTGCCCTACCCAACAGTATTCGTATACGGTAGCGACTGGTGTGTGTGTGTGTGTGTGTGTGTGTGTGTGTGTGTGTGTGTGTGTGTGTGTAATAATAATAATAAACGGTTTATTGAAAAAGTTTGCAGCCCGAAGGCTGAAAATATACATTGGACACAAATGACTTAATACATAAATTTGTGGTTTAACAAAAGCCTTCATAAGAGAAAGGTGAAGGAACATACAGTGAACATACAGATTAATGTTTACACACGTAGATCATGTGAGCTGAGGTGTTGAACAGTAGACACGTAGTGTAGTAACTCCCTCACACGTTATAAGGAGCATCACGTGGAGTACTAGAGTCGGTGCAGCGAAGAATGACGAAAATGATTCCGGGACTTAGAAAACTTCCACATCAGTATAAATTAAAGAAACTAAACTTGTATTCCCTAGAAAGACGAAGAGTGCGGGGAGATATGATAGAAGTATTTAAGTGGGTGAAAAGAATCAATAAAGGGGATATAGATAAAGTTCTTATAATATCCGAGCAGGATAGGACTCGGAGCAACGGATTTAAGTTGGATAAGTTTAGGTTTAGGAGGGAGATAGGAAGAAACTGGTTCACAAATAGGGTGGTGGACGAGTGGAACAAGCTTAGCAACTTTGTAGTAAGTGCTGGAACTCTGGAAAGTTATAAAAGGAGGCTAGATAGATTCATGGATGATAGAGAGTGGTAGTAACTCTCGACAGGAGCTGCCATGCACCGGCCTATTGCAGACTCCTTATTTTCTTATGTTCTTATGTTCCCTCACAGGTGGTGTTATGAGGGGCTTGACGTGGTGCAGTAATTCCCGCACAGATGGTGTATGAAGGGCCTGCTGTGGTGTAGTAATTCCCTCACAGATGGTGGTATGAGGAATTTCACATGATGCTGTAGCAACTCATTCACTACGTGGTGTCGTAGCATCATGGGGACACCACGTGGTCTGAGGTGTGGTCCCAGGCCTCTCTATCATGGAGTCTCAGGGGAATTATCACTGGGTACCTGGGACCTTACTGTGTGAAGGTTAGCTTGGGTAAGACTCAACTGCCGAGTTGTTTTTCACTGACTTAAGCACTGTTCAACACTGATTCCATTCCTTTCCCAAATGAAATAGTAACTTCTAGCGAGAACTTGTTGATATTCCGGTGGAGGAGGGTTCAGGGGAGGGAGTTGGTGTGGGCCAACATAACAGTTGACGTGGCTGCTGGTGAGCAGCGCCAGGTGCGTCTGACCCGTCGGTGGTGTGTGTGTGTGTGTGTGTGTGTCTACTCCGTACATTGTTTATATTCCAACAGTCTCTATGTGTATGGTGAACCAATGTGAATTTATATGACAATTTTGCTGAAATATAATATCAATATCTATCTAGCTGAGGGTTGTTGACCACGGCCCTCTGAAGTGGTAATTATGATATCAATGACGACTTAAGAGAAATTTCTGCTCGCTGGAATATGTCGACGACTCCACCATTGGGATCAGTGTCAACAACTCTGCTCCCGACTATACCGCCATTCAGGATTTATTGAACAGTCTCCAAAACTGGGCCACCAACAACCACGTCACCATCAACCATACCAAGACCATGGTTATGCACATCAACCTCTCCTCCGACGTTGTCCCACCTCCTTCCATTACTTTGGGCCCCAACACACTCCAGGTTGTAGACTCCACTAAGCTCCTCGGCGTCACTATAGATAACAAACTAAATTGGAAACCAAACGTCAATACAGTTGTCAAATCCTCCAGTTTCCGTCTCCACCTCCTCCGTTGACTCAAGTCCCTCGGAGTTCCTGCACCCGAGCTCCTCAGTGTTTTCTCAACACTCATACTTCCCAAGCTCACCTATGCCTCCCCTGCCTCTGGTCTTCTTCCCTAAATGTCACACAACGTAAACACCTAGAAAAAGTGCAGAAGAGGGCATGCAAGATTATTCTCTCCCCTTCCTACTTCACATATCAAGAAGCGCTCAACACACTGACCCTCTCAGCTCTCACTGACCATTACCACGACCTCATCTGCAAATTTGGTGAGAAGCTTCTGCACCATCCTCGACACCGGCTCCTACTACCACCTGAGATCCCTAGCCCGAGAATTGCTGTTCGACGCCACAACCGCATCCAGCCCACACAAGCACGAACTGATCACTATAAGAACAGCCCAGTCCCAACCATTGTAAAAATTATCAATAACTTGTAATCAACCAGTGTATTCACTCCCAGTAAACACTACTCCTTGCACTGTCGCTATGTTGAAATGCCCTGTAGTATGACCTTCTCCCCACCAATTATGTAACTGTATATTTACAGCTTTCCGGCTATCATGCTCTTTCAATAAACCGTTAATTATTATTATTACCACACACACACACACACACACACACACACACACACACACACACACACACTGTACATACATCCATAAGGGCAATGTAGTTACTGACAAATCATGACAAATTGATAAAGTGCTAATGATAAGGAACACGATCTATAGTGTGGAGGTGATGGTAGTGCTGTGTGTGTTACTGTAGGTCAGGTTAGGTCATATCAGGTCAGGTCAGATTAGGTTACATCTATGACAACACCCCGTCACAGGCAAGTGACCAAACTGGTTTTATGGCTTTACCTATGTATAGTAACGGACAATATTCATCCATCATGTCAGCATAAACTTGTGGTGATGTCAGACTCGTACTGATGTATTACACTGAATAACTTATCGATGGTACTACAAATATGGCCGTCATGTTTACATCTCTCTCTATACTAAGTATGTGATAAGTTGTCTGATGAGTCCCTTGTTTTACTAGTCTGTGATTGGTTGGTGTGTCAACAGTCCCTGGAGGAGGTGTATGAGATAAACCAATCAAAGTGGAGTATACACAAGAGGCTCTCAGAGGTGCATCAATCACAGACTCACTGATCTAAACAAATATTTAAAAAAAAAAAAGGAAATTTGGTTTAAAAATTTATTGTATGAAAAAAATACGAAGTCAAATCCCGACTTTTGTTTACGTCTTAAATAACAAACAACAGTGGAGTATGTTTTGCTTGTAAAACTGAGAGGGGAGGGAAGGGGTGAGGCTGGTGGTGAGTGAGGTGGTGCTGGGAGGGAGTGGTGGGAGGTGAGGTGTTGGTGGGAGGTGGTGGTGGTGGGAGTGTGGTGGTGGGAGGTGGTGGTGGTGGTGGTGGGGAGGGTGGTGGTGGTGGCGGTGGTGGAGGGTGGTGGTGGTGGCGGTGGGGAGGGTGGTGGTGGTGGTGGTGGTGGGGGTGGTGGTGGGGAGCAGTGGTGGAGGTGGTGGTGGGGGTGGTGGGGTGGTGGTGGTGGTGGTGGTGGTGGGGTGGTGGTGGTGGTGAGGTGGTGGTGGGATTGGTGGTGGTGGGAGGGTGGTGGTGGGAGTGGGAGGGTGGTGGTGGTGGTGGTGGTGGGTGGTGGTGGTGGTGGTGGTGGTGGGGTGGTGGTGGTGGTGGTGTTGGTTGTGGTGGGGTGGTGGTGGAGATTGGTGGTGGTGGTGGGGAGGTGGTTGGTGGTGGGGGGTGGTTGGTGGTGGGGTGGTGTGGTGGTTGGGGGGTGGTGGGGTGGTGCAATTGGTGGTGGTGGGGTTGGTTGTGGTGGGGGTGGTGGTGGGGTGGTGGTGGCAGGTGGTGGTGGTGGTGGGGGCTGGTGGTGGTGGGGTTGGTGGTGGTGCTGGGGGGTGGTGGTGGGGGTGGTGGGGTGGGGGTGGTGGTGGGGGGTGGTGGTGGGGTGGGTTGGTGGTTGGGTTGGGGGTGGTGGTTGGGGTGGTGGAGGGTGGTGGGGCTGGTGGTGGTGGTCTGTCTGTCTGTCTGTCTGTCTATCTCTTTCGATGTAGCCCCCTGTCAATTTCTCTTTCAGTAGGCGTTAATAAACTCACACTCACACATGTCCACTCACATGTGTACAATATATTACACGGTCTATACACGACCTTTCTAATATTTACACAGGTCAATGTATTATGTAGTCTGTACGCAACACTCTCTCTCTGCCTCTCTCTGGTACTTGTCTGAGCATTCACCACAGACAGACAGAGAGAGAGAGAGAGGCTAAAATAATGGAAGAACGAGACTGAAATAAGAGGAAAATGAGAGAGAGAGAGAGAGAGCAGTGTAGGTGTGGGAGGTTACACAGTATAGATCACCTGTCGCCGCCAGTACAACAGGTGATCGTGTAAACAGCTGGCAACCTAACCCTAGATAAGGGGTTGACGCGAAGGACAGGTGTTCAGGAAGTAGAATCACTGATTGACTCCTTTTGACAAGTAGCTAATGAGAATCAGGTCACGTTACTCAGTTGATTTACGCAGTGTGTGTGTGTGTGTGTGTGTGTCTGTAAGTCAGCCATAATCCACATATCACCTCTCCCAGCGCACCTGCCTCACCAGACTGTGTAATGAAAAACACTTCTGTATACTGAGAGAGAGAGAGAGAACACACACACACACACACACACACACACACACACACACACACACACACACACACACACACACACACACACACACACACACACACACACACACACACACACACACACACACACACACACACACACACACACACACACACACACACACACACACACACACACACACACACATAGTTATTGGATAAGTTTAAATTTGGAGAATAGGAAAAACTGGTTCTACATGGGTGGTGGACAGGTGAACAAACATGGCAGTGCTGGAACGCTGGAAAGTTTTAAAAGGAGGCTAGATAGATTCATGGATGATAGAGAGTGGTAGTAACTCTCGACAGGAGCTGCCATGCACAGGCCAACCGGCCTATTGCAGACTCCTTATTTTCTTATGTTCCTATGTACATCCTTGACCACCGTAGGGTCAAGACCTATCAGGCGCTGCTCCCGCTACACAGCTGCCCCCCCTTGGCCAACGTCGGCCCATTCCCCTAGTCCCTCTCCCCGACCCATCCTCACCACTGGGATATCTACATAATCAAAAGTGAAAATTTCGTTTCGTAAAGAATTGGGATCAGTGTTGAACAGTGATGAACAGTGATGAAAAGTGTTTAAGCCAGTGAATTCAGCACTAGACAGTACCAGTGAGAGCCGCGACCCACCACCGAGATAAACACCCCTGGGAACTAACCAAGAGAGAGAGAGTGAGAGAAAGGAGGAGGAAGGGAGAGGGGGGGGGTGAGAGAAAGAAATACATAGAGGGGAAGGAGGAAGGGAGGGAGTGACAGAGAGAGAGGTAAGGATGAAGCAAGGAGTGAGGGAGGCGATGAAAGAGGAAGAGGAAGGAGGGAGAGGTGAAGGAAAAGAGAAGGTAGTGAAGGAGGAAGAGGAGGAGGAAGACAGAGGAATAAAAGGAGGAGGAAGACAGAGGAAGAGAAGAAGGAGGAGGAGGCGACAAGAGAGGTTTTGGTTATCAAACTGGTCAAGGTCAACTGATGGGATATCTCTCTCTCTCTCTCTCTCTCTCCATCGTGTGTGTGTGTGATATTAAGGACACGATTCAGCCTTCCTTCTCTCTATTAAAAAAATAAAGAAAGTTAGAGAAAAAGTGAGATAGTCCAACATGTGGGATGGCAGGAAGGACAAACCCACACGAAAATATGCATATAATAATATAGTGGTTAAGTTTATGCCACCACCCCTCCTACCACCATCACCTTCCCACTACCCAAGGTCAAAACTGCACCTACCATCCAGCGTGGACTAAAAAGCGAGGGTATCAAGAACCTGCCCTAGCTGACTCCCTTCCTTTAGAGAGAGAGAGAGAGAGAGAGAGAGAGAGAGAGAGAGAGAGAGAGAGAGAGAGAGAGAGGAGGGGGGGGTAAGACGATTATGATTACATGTAGATAAGATCATACCTGTGTCTCCCTCTCTTCTCTCTCCCTACTTTCCACCCCTCATTTCTTTCTCCTTCTTCCCTCCTTCATTCTCTCAACCTCCCCCCTACTTCCCTCCAGCCTACCTCTCCACCACCCCCTCCCCCACCCCACTACCTGATCACCTTGCAATAAGAAAAACATAAAGGGTTTCTACACTTGCCTTGCGGAACCCCAGCAGGAAGTATGTGTGTAGGAAGAGCAGTCGTAGAGTACACATTCTTTCTTGGGTGTTAGCTGTTAGCGGAATGGGGTTGTGTGGGTGTTAGGGAAGATGTACTATAGTGTGTTTACTAGGTTTGAAATGTACATCAGCTGGTTCTTGATGTACAGTACAGTAAAGCACACATTATCTATATAGTTGGTTGAGATGGTCGTGGTAAAGTTCACATTATGAGATTTACAATTGATATTTCACCATTCGTAATACACACACACACACGCTCACTTATATTACCTGTGGTCCAGACGTTACCCGAGGCTGTGTATTATGTAAATTAAGCATAATGACTCAATAAAAAAAGGAACAGTAATTGTGAATAATCTGTGTGTGTGTGTGTGTGTGTGTGTGTGTGTGTGTGTATGTGTGTGTGTGTGTGTGCCCGCGCGCCTTTACCCCCAATAACTATAATCTATAGAGTTATATCGCCTATAATGAAAAGATATTTTTCTTCCTCTAAATGGTTATGTACGATATAATTGACCTTATTCTCACACGCACGCACGCACGCACACACACACACACACACCACAACCGCATCCAGCCCATGCACGAACTGATCGCTATAAGAACAGCCCAGTCCCAACCATTGTAAAAATTATCAATAACATGTAATAAATCAGTGTATTCACTCCCAGTAAACACTGCTCCTTACACTGTCACTATGTTGAAATGAACTGTAGTTTGAGCTGATCCCCATCTAAGTTATTATATGTCTTATTTGTGTCACTTATGTTACTTGTATATTATTTGTAATTCGTAACCCATTCCCCAAATATGTAACTGTATATTTTCAGCCTTCTGGCTGCAAGCTCTTCAATAAACCGTTATTATTATTATTATTATTATTATTACACACACACACACACACACACACACACACACACACACACACTTCTAATCCATCTTTACAAACACGATAAAAATACAAAAATACCGTAAAACTAAAAAAAAAAAATAAGCATTAAAACCCCGACAAAATCTGACTAGTCTTCCGCGAGTCAAAATTGTCCACCAGGAGGAACGCAACATTGTGGTCAGCTCACAACCAGACCACGAAGCTCACCCTAAAGGTACGGAGATAAATTTTTTTTTACGAGTGAAAGTAATGTTTGTATGATATGTAAAAGTTTAATATTACGTGAAACTAGGAAAATATATTGTTATTAGGGCTTGTGGGTAATTTTTGGTCAATGTTGAAGTGTTTTATTGTGAGGTGACTGAGTTTAAACTGAGATTAATAGTGAGTTTATTTCATTGTTCTCTAGGTAGTGGTGGTGGTGGTGGTGATGACAGAGAGAGAGAGAGAGAGAGAGAGAGAGAGAGAGAGAGAGAGACAGAGAGAGATAAACTAAATACCAGCTAAAATAATGAAAACATCTGGGTCTCTCTTGACTGGGAAACAACTTACAACAGTACAGACAAAGACCGGGCGGGTCCTGAGCTCTGTTAACGTTTTTATAAGAGTAATCGTGATCCGGATTCATAATAAGGTGTGAAGACGCTTTCCAAATATGTCAGTGAAGGACAGAGCAGAACATAACGGGGAACTTGTCCTCACTAAACCAAAACTCACCCACGACATTTGGGGTGAAAAATGACCCTCCAGAACTGTGTACTGGGAAACATAGCGTTAGTGAGTGAGTGAGTTAGTGAGTGAGTGAGTGAGTGAGTGAGTGAGTGAGTGAGTTAGTTAGTATGTGGCGTTGTAGTGGATAACTCTGTACAGTACACGCCACCTCTGCCGTAGGGTTAGCCACCGTCCGCTACAGTACACCTCAGAGCTCACACCGTGTACCATCATGACACGTAGAAACAGTCAATGACACACAGGTACACTTAATGACTATGGTTCAGGTTGGGAGGTTTACTGAAACCCTGTTGCACCATGACGGGCAGGTCTTAAGGCTTACTATAACTAAATAACGAATGTTTATCACCTGAAGGTTAGACACCCTATTATACCTTATGATTAAACACTTCAACACTACCTGGGGGTTAGGTTAGGTTAGAGAGAGAGAGAGAGAGAGAGAGAGAGAGAGAGAGAGAATGTAAACCAAACTATTGCTGCTGTTGCAAATATTTTCGGGAACAATTTGTAATGTAGGTCAGAGTTTCACCAAATAACTACCATCTGTTCCAACTACCAGCGGCTTCCATTATCTACAACACCAAGAATAGTATTATTATTATTATTATTATTATTATTATTATCATTATTATTATTATTATTATTAGTAGTAGTAGTAGTAGTAGTAGTAGACGCTGGACACTTTGGTGGTCAGTAGCAGCTGTGAGCCACACTAGACCATATCCTGCACACCAAATAGCCTCACCTAGCCTACGTAATTAACCAGGAAATAGTAGTTGGACCGTACTAGCAAATTGTGGTGTGTCATGAGGCTGTTGTGGTAGTAGTGGTGGTGGTAATGGGTAGTAGTAGTGGTGGTAATGGGTAGTAGTGGTGGTAGTAGTAGTGGTGGTGGTAATGGTAGTAGTCGTGGTAGATCAATCATAGCCAAATTATTATATTTTATAAATAAATTAACCAACTGATTTTAACGAGAGAGAGAGAGAGAGAGAGAGAGAGAGTCACCTTTGACCTGATCAAGTTTTTCTTCCGATTTATTTATTACCAGTTAGTCTCTCTCTCTCTCTCAAACGATGATGAAGCAGAAGAAAATAATAATAAGAACACGAACAAGAACACGAACAAGAACTCAAGCACAATCACCACACAATACGTCACACATAATATTGGCATGACTCGCACACCTATTGACATGACTCAGTACAGGTAAATCACTAGTACAGGTAAGAACACGTTACTAGTACAGGTAAGAGGCTGTTACGACTGTGGCGGAAGTGACAGTCAAAAATTGCAAAAGAAAATAAAAAAATGTGAAAAAAATTAAATTCGATCATAAAAACCAAATGGTAAAGTGATTTTGTAGACGATTATTGTGGTGAAGTTAATGGGTTAATGAGGGGAGGGTGAGGGGCGGGGTGAGAATGATGGGAGGTAGGGAGGGTGAGGAGGATGAGGGAGGATGATGGGGAGTGTAGGAGGGTGGGGAGGGGAGGGTGAGGGAGAATGATGGGAGTGTAGGGGAGGGGTGAGGGAGGGGAGGGGAGAATGATGGGGAGTGTGTAGGAGGGTGAGGGAGATGAGGGAGGATGATGGAGAGTGTAGGAGGGTGAGGGAGGGTGAGGGAGGATGAGGAAGGGTGAAGGAGAGTGAAGAAGAGGTGAGGAAGGGTGAGGGTGAAGGTCTTCAAGCTCTCGTTTCTATACAGGGGATGCGGGTGCCAACTGAGAAGGAAGTGTTTTGTTAGTCTCTTCTCTCTCAATCGTCAATTGCTGTACCACACACACACACACACACACACACACACACACACACACACACACACACACACACTACCACCACTCCATCCACCCCCACTCACCTCATCTACCCCCACCCAATTCTAATACAGTTCTTCATTAAAACCACTCCTATTCCAAACCTCTCGACCACCGACACACACCCGAAAAAAAAAAACCCCATCGCTTTCCTTCAGCCAATCACAAGCCACATATAGTTCAACAACCTCTACACCATCAGCCAATCAGAGAGCGATATCCCACCGCCCTACCTGTACAGACAAGGTTAAGTGGTGAAGGAAACGAGGAAGAAATGCCACTTAGTTTCTTGTGTGTTAACCTGGTGTACGGAAGGTGGTTTACTCTCCTGGTTCAGTCTTCAAAAAATCGTAAGTTTTTTTTTTTTTTTCTCGTAAGTTTTAAGACAGAGTCAGTGGTGGAGTCTTATGAGGTCCTAAGTTGAGTAGAGATCTTAACTGGTGATGGGAGGGAGGGGTGGAGGGGATGTGGGAGGGGAGGGGTGGGAGGGAGGGATGGGAGGGAAGGAGGAGGGATGTGGGAGGAGGGATGAGGGGAGGGGGGAGGGAGGGGGGAGGAAGGGATGTGGGAGGGAAGTGGAGGGAGGGATGTGGGAGGGAGGGAAGTGGAGGGAGGGATGTGGGAGGGGATGTGGGAGGGAGGGATGAGGAAGGGATGTGGGGAGGGAGGGATGTGGGGAGGGGAGGGATGTGGGAGGGAGGTTGGGGAGGGAGGGGATGTGGGAGGTAGGGAAAGTGGAGGGAGGGGATGTGGGAGGGAGGGAAGTGGGAGGGAGGGATGTGGAGGGAGGGATGTGGAGGGGAGTGGAGGAGTGGAGGAGGGATGGGGAAGTGGAGGGAGGGAAGTAGAGGAGGAGGAAGGAAGCATATGATGTGACTAAAACATACATACATACATGAAAAACCTTCCAATAATGGCTCCCAAACTACACAGAGACTCTACCTTAATTAGATACACTTAACAGCAGCTGGTGGAGAACAAAATAACATATAACATTTGTTCATTAAAAATAACACTTACTGTACTGGTGATATTTAAGTATAAGTAGAAATTTAAGTAGATGAAGAACACACACACACACACACACACACACACACACACACACACACACACACACACACACACACATACAAGGGACTGTTTTTTCTTGCATACCTTCCCGTTCGACAGGTAATCAAATCCCTACAGAAGCAAATACGGTCGCAACTGTTTAATAGCGCCTGTTAAATCAACCCCTACCATTATTAGCCTAACCCAACCACAACTTCAGGTAAAATAAACTAGGGCGTCTAATCTTCAGGTGATCCACGATATATAACACGAAAGTGTTTTACTACATTAGTGGTTTGAGGAACAGACACAACACCGAATGAAGTGAGGCAACAGGTGTGTATTACAGGGTACAATTAAGCTCCAAGGCAAGGTGTGACGTACTTGAAAATTGGAATGTTAAAAAATTTCTTCCTTTCTAGATACACCAATCTCTCACCCCCTTTTCCGCCTCTCTCTCTCTCTCTCTCTCTCGTAGCATAATGATATTCACAATTTTGAAAGTAAACAGATTTCACCCACGTTTTCAACTTAATCGTTTGTGTGTGTGCGTGTGTGTCACCTGTCGAGACTAATTATTCACACCTGCTTTAGCTAATCTATACCACCCTACTGTTTTATTATAATAATAACAATAATAATAACATACAAGGCTGGCATGAGTCATCCAGAAGTCTTTTAAAAGCACAATAACATTTCTTTCTTAAAATGCAGGAAACAATTATGAGACATCACCTCTCTTAAATACTACCTTGGTTGGCAGTGGGAGAGAGAGGAGTCGTGTAGGGCAAGTATCTCTCACTGTGTGGTGTAGCTACAAGGTCACTCACTGCTGAGGAATCGATCGGTGTTGTGTTGTTGACCTTTTAGTTGTGCAAGTGTGTCTGTCTGTCAGCCTCTCTCTTCTATCACACATTCCTCTCTTATTTCATTACTCTTTCTCATTATTTTCTCTCATTCTTTTTCATTATCATCTCTCTCCCTCTCTCTCACACTCAGGACCCCACACCACCATGTTGGACCACCTCCCTGTACGCTGGTTATTGCCCACCGTCCTACCTCTCCTACGGGTCCTCCTGCTGGCGATCCTTCGAGGCGCTCACCAAGGATCCTATCCAGCTCCTACGACACTCCTACATCACTACGACTTCGTTATAGGTAAGGTTAATGGTTGGGATTGTGTTTGACTATGGTTACGACGACCTGTCTATGGTTACGACTCCTTTCACCTGTACGACTGCCATCACTTTTACGACCTGCCTACAACTACGACTCCTTTCACCTGTACGACCTGCCTACAACGACTGCCATCATCTCTACGACCTGCCTACAACGATTACGGAATCAAATGTCTATAAAAGAAGACTGTGTGTGTGTGTGTTGTGTGTGTGTGAGAGAAAAGCTTCTCATCTAAACTAATCGTCTCTTTACCTACCCCCCCCTACTTTCCATTGGATGAAAGTGGGTGGAGGAACTGCTGGTTGCGTTATGGCTGCACGACTATCGGAAGTACCTGAGTGGAAAGTACTTCTACTGGAAGCCGGAGGTGAACCACCCCCGGAAAGTATAGTACCGGGGTTGAGTCGGGTCTTCTACTTCCCCAGCGAAAGTACTTGGGACTACTTTCTCCATCCCCAACGACATGGTCTCAGAAATTACCGAAATAGGGTGAGTAATTGTGGTATTTGTGGTGGTGGTTAAAGTAGCGCCCTTAAGGACCCACAAAGACATTTAATTAACACAGGAAAAAAAAAACAAGTCCTTACCTGTGCCCCTTGTCACCCTTCCCGGCTACTTGTTATACCGTGTTATGGTCGCTTCACTATAGGTGGGTGAGGTGAGCCCGCTATCCCTTGTAGACTGACAACAGGTAGAAATATTCATATATATTTGTTCTTATTCTCAACTTACACACACACACACACACACACAACACGTCTTTACAGCACCACCCCCTCCTCTCTCTCTCTCTCTTAACAGTCACTCACCATTCACCAACCATCTCGATTCACCTTCCAATATTCGACGGAATGACGTTACCAATAGTCATTCAGTGTTGAAATGAGACAAATTGTTCTTCACCTTTCACTAGCCTACGTCACGGAGTTTACCTTTGACAATTAAGGTGATTATTTTACCTGTGATTGGATGGGGAACCTTGGTATCTTGTCTCGTTATGTGGTTAGGTTAGGCGTCACTGCTAAACTTTTCCTTCACACACACACCTCCCCCACACGCGACACCTCCCCGACACACACACACCTCCCCCCCACACACACACCTGAGTGAATAATTAACACCTTTACAATACGTGACAAAAAAACCTCAAAATCTACCTAAGTATCGGGTGTTCAGTCTCTTGTTTTCGGTCACTGCCCGAGCGATATAATGTGAGAAATGAGTGCAACTTTTTGGGTGAAATAAGTGAAAAGGAAAATACATAATACAAGCGGAAACCACACACCATAAAGTTACCTGGAAATACTGTGTTTGAATGATAGATAGATAGATAAATAGATAGATATAGATACTCGTAGATCTCTCAGTTTATCCCCCCCTTTCTCTCTCCCCCCCCCCTCCTTCTCTCACCCCTCACAGAGTAGTCCAGTCCCCCAGGGTCGTGTACTAGGAGGGTCGTCAGCGATCAACGGGATGCTCTACGTACGAGGCAACAGGCGGGATTACGACCACTGGGCTGCCTTAGGTAACAGAGGCTGGGATTATGACTCCGTCCTCCCCTACTTCAGGAAAGCGGAGGGATACAGAGGCCCCTTAAGTCCTTCTACAGGTGGGTACTGCTGCAGTGTGTCGTTGTTAGTAACGAAGTATATGAGTGAATAACGAAGTATATAAGTAAATAGCGAAGTATATAAGTAAATAACGAAGTGCAAGAGTAAATAACGGAGTGTCTGGTGTTGCAGAGAGTTACCATGGACGAGAAGGACCACTCCCAGTAACGCCAGACGAAGAGAATGACGGCTTCACCAGCGCTTTCCTCAAGGCTGGCGAGCAGTTGGGTTATTCAGTAATAGATCCGAGCGGTCCTGAGCAGATTGGTGAGTTAACTCTGTCTGTCTGTCTGTCTGTCTGTCTGTCATCACTACCAAGAGGTGACCCAAAAGGTGAGACTAGAGTCATTAACCTGTGTATGGAACACCTTGGGGTTACACCTGAGTTATTGTTTAGGTATTTTGGACTGTTTCAATATCTCTCGTTCTGTCTTTATCTTTCTTTATATTTCTCTCTCTAGATCGATTTTGCTTACTTTTTTCTCATTATTTCCCACTGTCTCTCTCTCTCTGTCTCTCCATCACTCCTCTCACCCCAAACACAAGTCCTTCCCTCCTCAAACTAAAATCCCTAAAGTTTAAGGTATATATTTTAGGGTTCGCCAAGACTGAGTACACCACGAGAGGCGGCGAGAGGTGGCATACAGCGCGGGCCTACCTCAACCCCGCCTCCAGACGCCACAATTTACATATTCTCACAGGCGCCACTGTCTTAAAGGTGGGTCTTAATGGTGTAATTTAACTTAACCTAGACTAAACTAATCCTAATTTAGACTAACCTAACATAGACTAAACTAATCCTAACCTAGACTAAACTAATCCTAATTTAACCTAACCTAACATAGACTAAACTAATCCTAACCTAGACTAAACTAACCCTAATTTAAGTTAACCTAACCTCGACCAAACTAATCCTAATTTATTTTAACCTAACCTAGACTAAACTAATCCTAACTTAATTTACCATAACCTAGACTAAACTAATGTAACCTAACTTAACATAGCCTAATCTAATCTAACATACAAACCAAAATTAACCTAACCTAACCTCACCTAATCTAACCTAACCTAACCAAACATGACCATTAACGTGTATATATTTTTTTTTTCTAAACATTATTTGTATATTTATCGATACGTATCAATTATCTATCTATCTAAGTAACCATCTATCTATTTCTCTACAGGTGATCTTCAACCAGGAGAAGAGAGCCGTAGGTGTAAAATACCTTTATAAGGGCGAGGTAATTAATAATGTAAATTAAATACCTGTAAATCATTCACCTTTTGTAAATTATGTAAATAACGTAACTAAATTACTTATATTATTTACATTAAGTTTTTTTATGTATTTAGAATGTGTTAATTGTAAACAAACTGTAAATAACGCATTGAATGAGTTGTGTATTTGTAAATAGTTGTAAATATACAGGAATAAGATAAGGTGTCCCATTTTAACTAAAGACAGGAATCAGCTGTGATGTCCAATTTTAATTAAGACAGGAATTAGTTAAGGTGTCCACTATTACCTGAACACAAGAATGCACTCTGATGTCCCATTTTTAACTGAAGACAGGAATGAATGTAGGTGTCCACTATCAACTAAACACGGGTCATGAGCTTTGATGTCCAATTTTTCGACAGGTGAGGAAGGTGTCCGTCAAAAGGGAGGTGGTGATGTCCGCAGGTGCTCTCGCTTCACCCAAGTTATTGATGTTGTCTGGAGTTGGACATCGAGACCATCTTAACAGCCATGGGGTATGTCCTAATGGGTGTCCAGTATCATGGGGTATGTCCTAATGGGTGTCCAGTATCATGGGGGTATGTCCTAATGGGTGTCCAGTATCATGGGGTATGTCCTAATGGGTGTCCAGTATCATGGGGTATGTCCTAATGGGTGTCCAGTATCATGGGGTATGTCCTAATGAGTGTCCAGTATCATGGGGTATGTCCTAAAGGGTGTCCAGTATCATGGGGTATGTCCTAAAGGGTGTCCAGTATCATGGGGTATGTCCAAATGGGTGTCCAGTATCATGGGGTATGTCCTAATGAGTGTCCAATATCATACGCATGTCTTCTTAACCCCAACTGACCCCTAAATGACTTCAAAATACCCCAAATAACATCAAATGACCTCACCTGACCTCCATACCCACAGGTGAAGGTTGTAGTTGACCTGCCCGGAGTTGGTCAGAACCTTCAGGACCACGTGTGTCTCTATGGGCTGACCTGGACGCTGCCCCCGGGGTCACCAACTGGGGTATTGAACGTCGCCAGTCCTAAGATGGTCAGCGACTACATCCACCACCGCACAGGTCAGGTCAAAGGTCGTATTAGGTTAGGGTCATAGCTCACAGTTATAGGTTAGGTTACAAAGTCATTATATATCCCTAAAGTATACTGAAGTAGATTATTATAGTATACCCTTGAAGTATACCCTTGAAATATACCCTTGAAATATACCCCCATCAAGACAGAGATCAATAAAAACATGACACTTGACCTCTACCCTTTCTCATCCTCCAGGGTCATACTCGACGCCTCTGAGTGACTTCGGGCACGCCTGGGCACTAGTAAACGGGGCAGGTCATGACCCCTATTGGCCAGATATTCAGTTGTTTATGGCATCGAATGGTTTGGCACAAGAGGGTATTTTAGCATCTGTGGCACTGGGATTAGACACCAAGGTAATGTACACTATTTTGGTTGCAATATATCAATTCATTTCTCTTTATGGTGTTGCAATTGCAGAAATGGTTGTAATCTCCTATTTCAGTTTGTGATACTGCAATTGCATTATGAATTAACTTGACCTCTCTTGCAATATGTTATTTCATCTACATTTGGCATATTGCAAAGTACTCGTCTGTGTACAAATAATTGCAATTTTACTTAATCTAGGTTTATCATATTGCAATTGCATCCTTCCTTGCAGAAATACTTGCAACACTACAGTTCACTCTTCGGCCGGCCGGGGATGACCATAATGCCTTACCTTACGCGACCTCTCAGCAGGGGGTCAATCACCTTGGCCTCCCGTGACCCCTTACAACCTATGATCATTGACCCCAATTACCTCAGTCACCCAGATGACGTCACTACCCTGGTTAACGGTGAGTCCTGACCTCCTTTACTTTCTGTTAACTTAATTTAACTTTATTTAGGTGATGTTAATTGTTATATTATTATTTTTAGGTGTCACTTGATTAAATACCTTGAACCTAACCTGACCTGACCTGTGCTAACCTGACCTGTCCTGTCCTAACCTGACCTGACCTGACCTGTCCTAACCTGACCTGTCCTGACCTTACGTGTCCTAACCTGACCTGACCTGTCCTAACCTGACCTAACCTGACCTGACCTGTCCTAACCTGATCTGACCTGTCCTAACCTGACCAAAACCTAACCTAACCTATCTTAATATGTGTACAGGTATAAAGTTGGCTGTCCAGTTAAGTAAGACACCTGCCATGGCCTCAACCCTCGGAGCTAAACTCTACGCCAAGGTGAGTAAAGGAGAAAATTACCGGACAAAATTATCAGACAAAATTAACGGACAATATTATCGGACAAAATTACCGGACAAAATTATCGGACAAATTAGGAGACCAATCATTGATCTCTTGATTTATCCTGTTAGCCAATAAGGGGACAAGTTACCTTCCCTCAGCCAATCAGGTGTGAGAAACTACTTAATTATTAGAATTGGTTGAAACTCTCTCTACCACAGCAGCTACGGTCCTCTCTCTACCACAGCAGCTAGGATAAGGTCCTCTCTCTACCACAGCAGCTAAGGTCCTCTCTCAACCACAGCAGCTAAGGTCCTCTCTCAACCACAGCAGCTAAGGTCCTCTCTCTACCACAGCCGCTGCAGGAGTGTGCCGGGAAGGTGTTCGGGTCTGACAAGTACTGGAGGTGTTACGTCCTCCACATGGCCACCACCTTTTACCACTTCGCCGGCACCTGTAGGATGGGCCCCGCCTCTGACCCTTACAGCGTGGTGGACGATGAGCTCAAGTGAGTACTGTACTGTCTCTGGGTCTGTCTCTGGGGGTGTTTCACTGCCTGTCTGTCTGTCTGTCTCTGGGGGTGTCTGTCTTTGGGTCTGTTTCACTGCCTGTCTGTCTGTCTCTGGGGGGGTCTGTCTCTGGGTCTGTCTCTGGGGGTGTTTCACTGCCTGTCTGTCTGTCTGTCTCTGGGGGTGTCTGTCTGTGGGTCTGTCTCTGGGGGTGTTTCACTGTCTGTCTGTCTGTCTCTGGGGGTGTCTGTCTGTGGGTCTGTCTCTGGGGTGTTTCTCTGTCTGTCTCTGGGTCTGTTTGTGTCTGTCTGTGGGTCTGTTGCTCTGTCTGTCTGTCCATCTCTCCCTTTTATATTATAGTTCATACATTCAAGGGAGTACACTCTACCTCTCACACACTCTACCTCTCACACACTCTACCTCTCACACACTCTACCTCTCACACACTCTACCTCTCACACACTCTACCTCTCACACACTCTACCTCTCACACACTCTACCTCTCACACTCTACCTCTCACACACTCTCTACTCTCTCACACTCTACCTCCACTCTCTCACACCTCTACCTCTCACACACTCTCTCACACACTCTACCTCTCACACTCCTACCTCTCACACACTCTACTCTCTACACACTCTACCTCCTCTCACACACTCTACCTCTCTACACCTCTCCACCACTCTACCTCTCACACACTCTACCTCTCACACACTCTACCTCTCACACACTCTACCTCTCACACAACTCTACCTCTCACACACTCTACCTCTCACACACTCTACCTCTCACACACTCTACCTCTCACACACTCTACCTCTCACACTCACCAGGTTACGTGGAGTAGCAGGTGTGAGAGTGGTGGACGCTTCAGTTATGCCAGTGGTGGTGTCTGGCAACCCCATGGCCGCCATTATTATGATAGCTGAACGTGCCGCTGACGTCATCAAACAGGACTGGACCTCTGCCAGATAAGGACGTCTCCTCTCTCTCTCCTCTGGCTGATGTGTAGAGAGTATAATAACAGTGTTAATTTATCACAAGTGCTATATTGATGATTTTTTAGTGTTTGGTTAGGTTAGATTTGGTTATGTTGCCTTAGGTTAATGTTAGCTTAGGTTAGTTTAGGTTAGTTAAGAGTAAATTTTATATATATTAATCTTGATATAAATTCCTATTAGTATGAACGTATAAAGAATATATTCATACAGTGTATAAATGTACATATATAAATAGTTTACAATGTATATAGTTTCCTTAGCTACCCCTGCAAGCTTGTGTATATAAATCATTCATAATGTATATATTTCTTAAACCTATATCTATCTGGACTATATCATACACATCAATGTATATACACTGTCTGCTCTCTTATCTATCGTAGTTTATAGAAGTTATATTATGCTGTATATATTCGTATTATTTTTATAAACACCTTTAGTGATATAACTCCCCTTCATTGTGTATATATATAAATTTCCATATACTTCCTGGATTCTAGAATATTTGTTATAATAAAAATTTATCTATACATTAGTTATATAAATTATTTTCATGAATTTGATACATAAATAACTAATATAAATTATCTATATATTATCTACATAATTTACTAATATAAATTAACTATATAAACACGAATGTTGTATATAAATTAAGTATATAAATTTGGCTGGAGTTTCACACTAATTAACAGGTAAGTTAAGTCCACACCTGAGTTGATTACCTTAATTATTATTGTCTTATTTAACCCTTTCTGTCCTTCAATGGTGAGAGGGAGAGGTAGGTATGTATGTATGTATGTATGTATGTATGTATGTATGTATGTATGTATGTATGTATGTATGTCCTTACACTCCTCAGCTGTCATACAAGTTTACCTCAAGTTCTTCACAGGTGAGTCACCAACAAGGTCAAGATTAGGTCACGCCCTCGACTACAAGGTCTTATGAGTCCTCCTTCATGATGTATGTATGTATGTATGCATGTATGTATGTATGTATGTATCAATAATCCTTGTATCAGAAATAAAAAAAATTTCTCAATAATTTGTGTTATATTTTTCCTCATATTATCGATAACATCCTCAAGAAATATTGATAAAGAAAATGTAGTGTGTTAAATGGACCTAAAATCCCTTAAAACAACTACGAAATCCTTAATCCTTACTACAACTAATACTACCAATGATAATAATAATAATAATAATAATTCAAGGGAAAACTTTACAACCAGTAACTTAAAGAAAAAGACCTTGTAAATCAGCCCACAAGACCTCGTCAGAGTTGAGACGCAGGGCTGTATGGTTACTGTACAGTACCTCGTGATGGTGCAGTATGTATCGTCAGCAGTAGGGAAGCCTTTATTAACTCTTAACAACACTGACTTAAAAGGTTTCCACGAGGCCCTCACACTAACACGATCAACACACAGATGGGTGGTGAAGAGGGTGTAGGGGAGGTAAGAGAAATATATAAGGCGCACCACCACTTGTCACAGCCAACAGCTCCTCAAGACAGTCGTCACCAGTCACTTCTCTCTCTCTCTCTCTCAACCCATTACTATAACTAATGGTTAACGCCGTCAAGGTCTTCAAAAAGACTGCCCCTAATGGTGAGTACAGTACAGTACAGTAGTGTTATGTTCGGAGAGCCGAGCGAACTTATTTATTATTCTCAATATTGTGATTAAATAAACTTTTACTTCAATATGTCAAACCACAATAATTATTATCGATCTGTAGTTTACTTAGACGGTGTGAATCATGCTACGTCAGGTGGGGCTTGGGAGGTTTGGTGGAGAGACAGACTGAGATTGTTCAGGCATGTGGAGGGAAGGGTTGAGACCAACAGTGTCAGGAGAGACGCACGTGGAGGGTCAGGGACACAAGGATAACATGGGGTCAGGCTGCAAGACATAGAGGAGACAACATGATAGGTACAGAGGAGACACTCTTATACACAACATGATAGGTACAGAGGAGACTCTCTTATACACAACATGATAGGTACAGAGGAGACTCTCTTATACACAACATGATAGGTACAGAGGAGACTCTCTTATACACAACATGATAGGTACAGAGGAGACTCTCTTATACACAACATGATAGGTACAGAGGAGACTCTCTTATACACAACATCACTGACGGCCATTGTGTCACGATCCTGCCGCCAACTTCTGTACGCTTTATTTTGTGATTCTTCCCACAGGTAAGGTCACCGCGTACTTAAGTCGGAGGGACTTCGTCGACCACATCACCCACACGTCCCCCGTGGACGGCGTGGTTGTTGTGGACAATGACTACCTCCGCGGCAGGCGGGTGTACGCCCGTGTGGCGGTCACCTACCGCTACGGTCGGGAGGAAGATGAGGTCATGGGACTTCACTTCAGCAAAGAGATGGAGGTGGTGAACACCGAAGTTGCTCCCAATGTTAATACCGAGGAACTCACTGATGTTCAGGAGCGTCTCATCAAGAAGCTGGGCGGCAACGCCCACGCCTTCACTGTCACTCTCCCCCAGACCGCCCCCTGCTCCGTCACCCTCGAGAGTGGCGACGATACTTCTGTAAGTATTGTTCCTCCTCAGTTACTTAACTCTAACATTAAGGCTCAAACAACTACCCACTAATGTTAAGGCTTACATTATATGTTAACTTAAAGACTCATTTAACCAACAGGCTCAGCCTCTTGGTGTAACCTTCGACCTGAGGATCTACGTGGCTGACCGCAAGGAGGAGAACCCCCACAGGCGAAACTCTGTCAGCTTCGCCGTCCGTAAGGTTCAGTTCGCCTCTTCCCAGCCCAGCGCTCGTCAGCCCCAGACCTTGGTCAGCAAGAGCTTCACCTTCTCCCCCGGTAAGCTCAACATGGAGGTCAGCCTCGACCGTGATGTGTACTTCCACGGCCAAGCTGTAGAGGCTAAACTCTCCATCAACAACTGCTCCAAGAAGACGGTGAAGAACATCAAGGCTCAGGTCGTCCAGCATATGGAGGTGACCATGACCAACAGCCACTTTAGTCGTGTTGTGTCGTCCCTTGAGTCCCGTGAGGGCTGCCCCATCACCCCTGGAGCCAACTTCAACAAGACCTTCTCTCTCACTCCTGTCGCCTCCTCCAACCAGAAGCGCTTCGGCATCGCTCTTGATGGCCGGATCAAAGACCAGGACGCCAACCTCGCTTCCTCCACCATGGCGGCAACCGGTAAGAACGTCAATGACGCCTTGGGCATTATCGTGTCCTACTCTCTCCGTGTGAAGCTCAACTGTGGCGCCATTGGTGGAGAACTGGCTGCTGACCTTCCCTTCAAGCTGATGCACCCTGACCCCACCGCCACCAAGGCCACCCTGCGTAAGATGCAGTCCACCGACAACTTCGAGTTCGAAGAATTTGCTCGACTCCGCCGCGGCCAGTCCGTCGCTGAGGAATAAACTGTCACCTACACGACTTGAGGTTCTTCCCCCTTTCTTCCATCTTATTTCTTCAGCTTTACTTCCTCTCTGATACTTATTATATTATCTTTATTCTGTTCTCTTCCTGTACATTGATTTATGAAAAAAAAAACCCTCATTCGTGTTTTTCATTCTGGACCTAAAGGCTATTACTGTACAGTGCTATGTGTCAGACACCTGCCTACCTTGATTACCTGAGGCTGCCAGGTACTATACAGGTGATGCTCCATACCCACTTCACATCCACACACTCACTCCACGCCCACACACTCACTCCACACCCACACACTCTATTTTGAACCTTCCTACCCTATCTATCTACACCCCACCTGCAGGAATTTGAAGCAGAGAGAAAAATATGTAATTAAAATCAGAATTAAAAGACACTAACCTGGTCAATGATCTCCCCTCCAGTACTGAGCTTGAAAGGACGGCACTGACTGGGTACCAAATGAAAACTTAATTATCATTTGTTGAAACGAAGAACTTTCCTTGAAGTCACTGAAACTATGAATCTCCGGCCGCTGATTGGTGGAAATAATGACGTGATTACCGAGTGACCAATGATACCAACTCTTCTTGTCACTGTTGCCTGAAATAAAAAATCGAAATTTAATATATGAAAAAAACAAACAAACAACAAACTGATTTGCTTAAGATAAATATATTACCGCCATTTAGCATAAGATACTCAAGGGGTTAAGTCATCATATTCAAGGGGTCATCATATTCAAGGGGTTTAGTCATCACACTCAAAAGTTTAAGTCATCATAGTCACAGGTGTTAGGTGATTATTAAAGAATATCACTATCAGAAAAGAGGATGTTCTTAAGAAGATAAATAAATTAAAGAAGAAAAAATCCCAGGGCCGGATGAAATTTTCCCTCGAGTTTTGAAAGAGTGTGGGGAACAGATTAGCGGACCCCTCGTAAATTTATTTACAAAATCATTAGACACGGGAGTTGTGCCACACTTGTGGAAACAGGCAAATGTAGTACTGTACCCATATTCAAAAAGGGAGACAGAGCATCAGCGTCAAATTACCAACCGATTAGTTTGACGTCAGTAGTGGGGAAATTTCTTGAATCAATTATAGCAAATAGCATCCGATCGCATTTAGAGAAAAACAAATTAATCTACGACTCTCAACATGGGTTTACAAAGGGAAAATCTTGTCTAACAAATCTGCTGACGTTTTTTAGGAAAGTCTTCGAGGTAGTAGATAATGACGAAAATTACGATGTTATTTACTTAGACTTTAGCAAAGCGTTTGACAGAGTACCGCATCAGAGGCTTCTGAGAAAAATTAAGGCTCATGGTATCGAGGGGAAAGTTTTAAATTGGATAAAATCATGGCTCACCGATAGAACACAGAGAGTCAGCGTAGATGGTGTTAAATCTGAGTGGGGCTGTGTAACCAGTGGGGTTCCCCAGGGGTCAGTACTGGGTCCACTCTTGTTCATAATCTACATAAACGATCTAGATACTGGGATCAGCAGTGACAAAAGCAAGTTTGCGGATGACACCAAAATAGGGCGGCAGATTAATTCAGGGCACGATGCAAATGCACTACAGAAGGATTTAAATAAACTGCAGGAGTGGTCAGAAAAATGGCAAATGAAATTCAACACCAGCAAGTGCAGCGTACTTAATATTGGAAGAACAAATACTGTCAATGTATACAGCCTTAACAACATCAACCAAGAGAAGTCGACTTGTGAAAGAGACCTAGGGGTACTTGTAAGCCCGGACCTACGGCCTAGAAAACAGTGCGTTAATGTTCGAAATAAAGCAAACAGAGTATTGGGTTTTATATCTAGAAGTGTAAGTAATAAGAGTGCAGAGGTCTTATTGCAACTATATCTTGCGCTAGTCAGGCCGCACCTCCATTATGCGGTTCAGTTCTGGTGCCCTTATTATAGAATGGATATCAATTCACTAGAGTCGGTGCAGCGAAGAATGACGAAAATGATTCCGGGACTTAGAAACCTTCCATATCAGGATAGGTTAAATAAACTAAACGTGCCTTCCCTAGAAAGACGAAGAGTGCGGGGAGATATGACAGAAGTATTTAAGTGGGTGAAAGAAATCAATAAAGGAGATATAGATAAAGTTCTTATAGTATCCGAGCAGGATAGGACTCGTAGCAATGGATTTAAGTTGGATAAGTTTAGGTTTAGGAGGGAAATAGGAAGGAACTGGTTCACAAATAGGGTGGTGGACGAGTGGAACAAGCTTAGCAACTTTGTAATAAGTGCTGGAACGCTGGAAAGTTTTAAAAGGAGGCTGGATAGATTCATGGATGATAGAGAGTGGTAGTAACTCTCGACAGGAGCTGCCATGCACAGGCCAACCGGCCTATTGCAGACTCCTTATGTTCTTATGTTATCAAGGATTTAAGTCATCATACTCAAGGGGTTAAGTCATCATACTCAAGGGGTTAAGTCATCATACTCAAGGGGTTAAGTCATCATACTCAAGGGGTTAAGTCATCATTATCAAGGGGTTAAGTCATCATAACTCAGGGGGTTAAGTCATCATACTCAGGGGGTTAAGTCATCATACTCAGAGGGTTAACTCATCATACTCAGGGGGTTAAGTCATCATACTCAGGGGGTTAAGTCATCATACTCATGGGGTTAAGTCATCATACTTAATCATACCTTCGTTCACCTGTCAGGAAAGCTCAGGTAACACGGATCAATGTACAGTTATTAATTCAGCTAATAAATGTCAAAGTTAAAAAGAATAACACAGTGAAAAATATTGTCTTTTGGGGGAATTTAAATTTTGTGTGTGTGTGTGTGTGTGTGTGTGTGTGTGTGTGTGTGTAGTACCCACCTGCTCGTAAGGAACAGCTTCAGCCTTGGTAGGTCTAATAATAGAAAGGCTTATATTAACAGGATCAGTGGGGAGGGTAGGCGGGGTATAAGAGGCGACCTCCTCTACACCAGCTTCACACTGAGCAACTCTCTCGACGCTTCTCTTAACTCGCATCTCAACTCACTTCCATGGTTAACGCCGTCAAGGTCTTCAAGAAGACTGCACCTAATGGTAAGTCAACCTTCAGGGTCTACCTCACCATCACTGTGGCCAGCTGTACTGTAAACAAACTCTTGCTCTTATACACAACTCTTCACTATTAGTAGAGTGTACAGTACAGTGTTACCTGTACAGTGCAGTGTTAGGCACGTCAGGCCATACACACGTCGCTCTTGTTAACATTACATAACACAGGTTTGTGATTCTTCCCACAGGTAAGGTCACCGCGTACTTAAGTCGGCGGGACTTCGTCGACCACATCACCCACACGTCCCCTGTGGACGGCGTGGTTGTTGTGGACAATGACTACCTCCGCGGCAGGCGGGTGTACGCCCGTGTGGCGGTCACCTACCGCTACGGTCGGGAGGAAGATGAGGTCATGGGACTTCACTTCAGCAAGGAGATGGAGGTGGTGAACACCGAAGTTGCTCCCAATGTTAATACCGAGGAACTCACTGATGTTCAGGAGCGTCTCATCAAGAAGCTGGGCGGCAACGCCCACGCCTTCACTGTCACTCTCCCCCAGACCGCCCCCTGCTCCGTCACCCTCGAGAGTGGCGACGATACTTCTGTAAGTAGTGTTCCTCCTCAGTTACTTAACTCTAACATTAAGGCTCAAACAACTACCCACTAATGTTAAGGCTTACATTATATGTTAACTTAAAGACTCATTTAACCAACAGGCTCAGCCTCTTGGTGTAACCTTCGACCTGAGGATCTACGTGGCTGACCGCAAGGAGGAGAACCCCCACAGGCGAAACTCTGTCAGCTTCGCCGTCCGTAAGGTTCAGTTCGCCTCTTCCCAGCCCAGCGCTCGTCAGCCCCAGACCTTGGTCAGCAAGAGCTTCACCTTCTCCCCCGGTAAGCTCAACATGGAGGTCAGCCTCGACCGTGATGTGTACTTCCACGGTCAAGCTGTAGAGGCTAAACTCTCCATCAACAACTGCTCCAAGAAGACGGTGAAGAACATCAAGGCTCAGGTCGTCCAGCATATGGAGGTGACCATGACCAACAGCCACTTTAGTCGTGTTGTGTCGTCCCTTGAGTCCCGTGAGGGCTGCCCCATCACCCCTGGAGCCAACTTCAACAAGACCTTCTCTCTCACTCCTGTCGCCTCCTCCAACCAGAAGCGCTTCGGCATCGCTCTTGATGGCCGGATCAAAGACCAGGACGCCAACCTCGCTTCCTCCACCATGGCGGCAACCGGTAAGAACGTCAATGACGCCTTGGGCATTATCGTGTCCTACTCTCTCCGTGTGAAGCTCAACTGTGGCGCCATTGGTGGAGAACTGGCTGCTGACCTTCCCTTCAAGCTGATGCACCCTGACCCCACCGCCACCAAGGCCACCCTGCGTAAGATGCAGTCCACCGACAACTTCGAGTTCGAAGAATTTGCTCGACTCCGCCGCGGCCAGTCCGTCGCTGAGGAATAAACTGGAATCACCTGAGTCTTTCTCTCCCTCGCTTTAGTTTCTTTAAGTTCTTTCGTTTTTGTTGACCTTCATTCGGCTTCTTATTTTTTGATTTATTTTAACAATGTTTTTGTTTATCTAATTATTCTAAGTTTATAGTTTATCGTTATTATTATTTTCTAAAAAAAATAAACCAAACACCTCACCAATGTCTCTTTATTACCAGCATTATTTTCCCTCCATTATCCACACGTGTGTAGGCCAGACGTGATCACTTGAGGCAGCTCCCCAAGGCTGTCATCTCTGTTTCTCTCAATGACTTCTTAACTCTGGGATAATTTCTTACAGCCTCTCCCCGTGTCCTGTCTCTGGCTCTCGTGACAGTTGACCAAACCATCTCAGTCTGTGTAAACCTTCACCAATACTCGCACTACCCAGCTGCCATAATAGCTCCTGTCTTTCAGTGTCACATTACACCTCACCACTCTCACTTCCTGGGCGACACAATGATATTATTCAAGATCTAATTGACATACCCAGGTGGATGATGACGTCACAGTAGGTATTCTGACGTCACGTATAATACTTAATGCGGACTATTTATAAACAATATCTTTAAAATAAGTTCATTACTTGAGTTATTGAACAAGTGATACATTTTCTTCCACTTAGGGACGAATCATTTTAGGAAATAACCAAAAATGATGAAATATTTGTTCAGGAAGTAACTTGATCGAATTAATTATCTCAGTAAAACTTGTATATATATATACATACATACAAACAAGCAAATAAAATTACTATCAACAAACACATGTACATATAAAAGAGAGGTAGAGTATTTCCTCGGTGCCGATAGTATCATACAGGTGGTCCCAGGCGATTGAGTAGATTCACATTGTCTTTGTAAATTGTTCTATCTGCGTCAATGAACTGTGCTGGTTAATGTCAACAGGTGTGTGTGTGTGTGTGTGTGGGTGTGTGTGTGTGTGTGTAGAGTCTCTTCTTGTTTGTGCCTCTGTCTGTCTGTCTGTCTGTCTGTCTGTAAGTCTCTCTCAACTGTATCGCCATTGGTGGAGAACTGACCACTAACCTTCCTGATGCACCTTGATCTCAGCACCAACAAGGACACTCTGAGTAAGACTTTCCTCTCCTCCACCGCCGCCCGCCAGTCCGCCTCTGTAAATTATCATACTCGTCACATCGCCATCTACTAAATTAAAATTATCTTATCAAATTATTTAATACTTTCTTGTTCTTGACTCTGAAATTATGACTTATTTATTTTTTTTTGTTAATAAATCGATAAAAAACGTCCAGTTGTTGTTATTTTCACTCTGACAAACACCTACACGTGTTGGTATGACTGTATGCTGCATCATGTGTACCAGGAATACAATATGAATACAACAATACAATCATACACTCCTGTACTCTCACTCAGAATACATAATACATTAATGAATTACTCTATCTTATATAACTACTGGAATCTGATCACTTTAGCACTTATTATAACACTTATTACTTATTTTAACACTTATTATAACACTTATTACTTATTTTAACATTTATTATTACACTTACTACTTACTTTAACCCTTATTATAACACTTATTGCTTATTTTAACACTTATTATTACACTTACTACTTACTTTAACCCTTATTATAACTTATTACTTATTTTAACACTTATTTTAACACTTATTACTTATTTTAACATTTATAATCACACTTATTATTGCACTTAACCTCACACCTATTTAATTAAGAGAGGAGTCAAGTGTCCTAATTAACGTAAACAACGAAATGTCTGGTTTGGACATTATAGTGAAACAGGACACCATGATACACCATCAGACACCATCGGGATACTATCAGCACACCATCATACACAACCAGACACCATCACACAACACAACCACTATAATCAACAGTGGTGTCATATTAGATTATCAATGACACTTTGTGGCACCATCATACAGGTGTTAGTAAAGGTGTTACAGGTGTGTTATGCTCCCCCCTCACACCTGCTATTTACGGTCTCAGGTCGCTTCCACCTCTCGATGGCTTCCTGGATTGCTGTACAGGGAAGAATCTAGATGACGTCTGCAACCACGTGAAGAATTTTACTATTTTGGTCATGTGAGTTGTCAGGTTGAGTTATTAGATTAGTGAAAAACACTCTACACACACACACACACACACACACACACACACACACACACACACACACACACACACACACACACACACACACACACACACACACACACACACACACACACACACACACACACACACACACACACAATGATATTACACGTACACAAACACCAAGGAGACACATACAAGAAAGGTTCAATAAAGTTAGGTGGGTGCGTGAAGGTGTGGAGGAGGAAGAGGGCCGTCACTAACAGGATCACGGGAGGTGTGGCGTGGTGGTGGCCTGGTGTGAGTGTTCAGCCCAGTCTGTCGTGGTGGTGGCGGGGGTGGGAGCACCAGTCTGTCGGTGGTGGCCGGGTGGAGTGGCACCAGTCTGTCGCGGTGGTGGTGGGGTGAGCGGCACCAGTCTGTCGTGGTGGTGGCCTGGGTGTGAGCGGCACCAGTCTGGCGGTGGTGGCGGGGTGTGAGCAACAGCCTGTGGTGGCAGGCACCAGTCTGCCGGTGGTTGGTGCAGCGGCACCAGTCTGTCGTGGTGGTGGCCTGGTGTGAGCGGCACCAGTCTGTCGTGGTGTGCTGGGTGAGCGCACCAGTCTTGTCGTGGGTGGGTGAGCGGCACCAGTCTGTCGTGGTGGTGGCCGGGGGTGTGAGCGGCACCAGTCTGTCGTGGTGGTGTCGTCAGTGTTCATGGCTGTCGCCGTCAAGGTCTACAAGAAGACTGCCCCTAATGGTTAGCTTGATGAGAAGGAGCTTCCCTTCTTCACTACTGTATGAGGCGACTAACACACCATTACATGTGCAGTAGTTGTCTCACATGATGCCACACTGTTGGTAATGAAGCATCATTAACACACAACACTGATGGTTCTCTCCCGCCACAGGTAAGGTCACCGCGTACTTAAGTCGGCGGGACTTCGTCGACCACATCACCCACACGTCCCCCGTGGACGGCGTGGTTGTTGTGGACAATGACTACCTCCGCGGCAGGCGGGTGTACGCCCGTGTGGCGGTCACCTACCGCTACGGTCGGGAGGAAGATGAGGTCATGGGACTTCACTTCAGCAAGGAGATGGAGGTGGTGAACACCGAAGTTGCTCCCAATGTTAATACCGAGGAACTCACTGATGTTCAGGAGCGTCTCATCAAGAAGCTGGGCGGCAACGCCCACGCCTTCACTGTCACTCTCCCCCAGACCGCCCCCTGCTCCGTCACCCTCGAGAGTGGCGACGATACTTCTGTAAGTATTGTTCCTCCTCAGTTACTTAACTCTAACATTAAGGCTCAAACAACTACCCACTAATGTTAAGGCTTACATTATATGTTAACTTAAAGACTCATTTAACCAACAGGCTCAGCCTCTTGGTGTAACCTTCGACCTGAGGATCTACGTGGCTGACCGCAAGGAGGAGAACCCCCACAGGCGAAACTCTGTCAGCTTCGCCGTCCGTAAGGTTCAGTTCTACACCGTGCAGGCCAACATCCGCCAGCCTCAGACTCTGGTGAGTAAGGGCTTCACGCTCTCTCCTGGCCGCCTCAACATGGAGGTCAGCCTCAACAGGGAGGTCTTCTGTCACGGTCAAGCTGTAGAGGCTAAACTCTCCATCAACAACTGCTCCAAGAAGACGGTGAAGAACATCAAGGCTCAGGTCGTCCAGCATATGGAGGTGACCATGACCAACAGCCACTTTAGTCGTGTTGTGTCGTCCCTTGAGTCCCGTGAGGGCTGCCCCATCACCCCTGGAGCCAACTTCAACAAGACCTTCTCTCTCACTCCTGTCGCCTCCTCCAACCAGAAGCGCTTCGGCATCGCTCTTGATGGCCGGATCAAAGACCAGGACGCCAACCTCGCTTCCTCCACCATGGCGGCAACCGGTAAGAACGTCAATGACGCCTTGGGCATTATCGTGTCCTACTCTCTCCGTGTGAAGCTCAACTGTGGCGCCATTGGTGGAGAACTGGCTGCTGACCTTCCCTTCAAGCTGATGCACCCTGACCCCAGCACCCAGAGGCCGCCTCTCAGGAAGACTCACTCCAATGACTTCGAGTTTGAGGAGTTCAATCGTCTTAGACGCGGTCAGTCTGTCCTCGATGACTAAACAAAACACTATCGGTCTCGCCTTTGTGTCTCTTATAGTTAACACCAGAGACTCTCGTTTGTTTACCATCAACACTAAAACTGTAAACACAAGACCATAACCTAACTTAACCAAACCTGACCTAACCAAACCTGACCTAACCAAACCTAACTTAACCTAACCAAACCTGACCTAACCTAACCTAACTTAACCTAACCAAACCTGACCTAACCAAACCTAACTTAACCTAACCAAACCTGACCTGACCTAACTTAACCTAACCAAACCTGACCTGACCTAACCTAACCAAACCTCACCTCAGGACAACAACGGAGGTCTTAACGACCTGCCAGTGTAATTCCAACACCTTTATTACAATTAACTTTGAACTGTGATCGTAGTCTAAGGATTTATATTATCATCTTCTCCACTTGAGGAAGAGTTGATAATAAACAACAATAATAACTTAAAAACAAAATAAAACTTAATATTTAATATATCTATATAAAACAAAGAAGTATGTCTGGTTGTTTGTGTGTGTGTGTGTGTGTGTGTGTGTGTGTGTGTGTGTCCGTTTGTGTCTGTGTGTGTGTGTCCGTTTGTGTGTGTTTGTGTCCGTTTGTTTGTGTGTCCGCACGAGAATCTCGAAAACTACTTTACCTATCTGTAGTGATGATGGATGGTGTTATATGTAGTGATGATGGATGGTGTTATATGTAGTGATGATGGATGGTGTTATATGTAGTGATGATGGATGGTGTTATATGTAGTGATGATTAGACAATAAAATATTAACAATTTAATGCTAAAAAAATATTCTTTGCTGTAACATTGTAGTGAAAAACATGGTGGAACTTACATACACCGTTAATGAACTATTGATTGATGAAGAAGTTTTGAGGACTGAACAGTGAGACAATGTGAAGCCTCCCGTGGCTGTGATATGACGTAAGGAAGACAAGTTATCGTGAGGACAATGTGTTTGGTTTCATATAGACGGACGGACGGACGGACCTCAATGTCTATATTCGAGGTTACTTTTGTGTGTGTGTGTGTGTGTGTGTGTGTGTGTGTGTGTGTGTGTGTGTGTGTGTGTGTGTTAGACAGGCAGACAGACAGACAAGCAGACAATACAATAAGACAATATAGTTATGCACCTCAGGGCCTTATGGACATTATTAAGACGAAGTGCATGAAATATAATCAACTTTACCTTAACATCTGAGTTATTAAAGAAAACGGGAATAATCAGTGTCCAAATGCCCTATATAACACCCCACAATAACACAACAATACATAACAAACAGAAACGCATCCAATGACAAGTAAAAATAGTTAAGTTTACCCTAAAATTTGTAGATTGAAGAAAATTGTGATCTGAGCAACAGAGGCCCGTGTGGAGGGAGGACTGGGAAACTGCAGGTGTTGTGATAACTAGATGTGGTGGTTGGCGTCTTGTCATGCTGAATTGCACTCCCCCCTCCTCCCGTTCCCCCCGCCCCCTTTTTCCCTGGACTACGTGATGTAAATAAGAGCAGTTCTTGTTCTGCGTACGACGGCCATACCTCTTAATTAAGATATGGAGAAGAACATAAGAACATGAGGAGTCTGCAATAGGCCGGTTGGCCTGTGCATGGCATCTCCTGTCGAGAGTTACTACCACTCTCTATCATCCATGAATCTATCTAGACTCCTTTTAAAACTTTCCAGAGTTCCAGCACTTACTACAAAGTTACGTTATGTGAGCTTTCATGATTCTGGGCCTTAACTCACGCACGCACACACGCGCACGCACAAACACACACACACACTACATCCTTGACCACCGAAGGGTCAAGACGTACCTGGCGTTCCTCTCGGAGCAGCCAGGTCAACTGTTAAGTTGGCCCATACCAACCCCCTCCCCTGAACCCTCCTCCCCTGAACCCTCCTCCCCGCCGGAATATCAACAAGTTCTCGCCAGAAGTTACAATTTCATTTAGGAAAGGAACGGAACCAATGTTAAACAGAGGTGAACAGTGGTGAACAGTGCTTAAGTCAGTGAGAACAACTCAACAGTAACAGTCGTACCCAAGTTAACCTTCACACAGTGAGGTCCCAGGTACCCAGTGATAACGGCCTGTGAGACCCAACAACAACCAGCGATGTGTTAATCCGTCTACGATAGGAAGGCCTGGGACCACACCTCACTCATATAACACCATCTGTGAGGGAATTACTACACCACATGTCCCTCATAACACCATATGTGAGGGAATTACTACACCACGTAGGTCCCTCATAACACCATCTGTGAGGGAATTACTACACCGGTCAGGCCCCTCATAACACCATCTGTGAGGGAATTACTACACCACGTGAGGCCCCTCATAACACCATCTGTGAGGGAATTACTACACCACGTGAGGTCCCTCATAACACCATCTGTGAGGGAATTACTACACCACGTGAGGTCCCTCATAACACCATCTGTGAGGGAATTACTACACCACGTGAGGCCCCTCATAACACCATCTGTGAGGGAATTACTACACCACGTGAGGTCCCTCATAACACCATCTGTGAGGGAGTTACTACACCACGTGAGGTCCCTCATAACACCATCTGTGAGGGAGTTACTACACCACGTGAGGCCCCTCATAACACCATCTGTGAGGTAATTACTACACCACGTGAGGTCCCTCATAACACCATCTGCGAGGGAATTACTACACCACGCCAGGTCCTTCATAATACCATCTGAGGGAACTACTACACCACGTGAGTTCCTCCTAACACCATCTGGGAGGGAGTTACTACACTACGTGTTTGCTGTTCAACACCTACATTAATCTGAATGTTCACTGTATGTTCCTTCACCTTTCTCTAATGAAGGCTTTTGTTAAACCACCAATGTATGTAATAAGTCATTTATGTCCAATGTATATTTTCAGCCTTCGGGCTGCAGAATTTTTTCAATAAACCGTTAATTATTATTATTATTATTATTACACACACACACATGTTCTGGTTCTCAGGTGCACCTAATTTTCTCACCTGACTATAGCCTCCTCATAAAGATTAGAATACCTGGTAACGGTCTGTCTGTGTTCCTGTCTGTCTGTCTCTCACTTAGTAACACCCGGATCACCTCTCTCAAGTCATCACCAGGTTGGGACATGACTAAGTTTATCAACATAGGCCTCAGTAACTCTCCCAGCTGAATATTTCAAGGTCTTTCTCTTTCTGTGTGTGTGTGTGTGTGTGTGTGTGTGTGTGTGTGTGTGTGTGTGTGTGCGTGCGCTGGTACTTGTTCAGTAATGTGGTGTTATCATGCTTACACAGAATCAACACTTTGGACCGGCAGCCCCCCTGACGAGAGGTACACTGAAGGGTTATATAAGGCTCAGGTGAGGTGAACACAAGGACCAGAAGGCGTGTGACCTCTGACTGGTGAGGATGTGCTTCAAGGGACGTCTCAAGGTGGTGGTGGTGGTGATGGTGGTGGTGACATCAACACTCACCTCCGCCCAACAGGATAACCTCCAGGCTATAGAATGTCCTTTCCCAGGTAAGTCCAAGTTTAAGTCCCCCAAAAAGTCCAGAAATGGATAAAAAAAATTAGTTAAGATGTCATGACCCCCCACCCCCTTTTTTATCCTATACCTCACCAGACTCCTCACTCACTCACTCCTACAATACCCCCCCCTCCCTCCGGTGAGACAGGTCGACGGAGGAAAGGTGACACACCACATTAGTCCTTCACATGTCCCCCAATACTGTCAATGCCTATGGCTATGGCCCGGCACTTGACATTATTAGGGGCCTGCCACGCTTTGCCATTAACAGATAAATTGTACCGGGAAATTTCCCCCCCACACACTCATCATTCCGTCACTTTATGTAACTTGCTGACAAAACCCATGACCCTTCAGGCTTTTACGCCCTTAATGCATGAGTCATAAAGGCAAGCATGAACTCCGCATGCTTCCCAGATGGGCGCTGTAAACGCTTCTGCGCTTCACCTTGCATAGGATGTAAGGGGGTGCCCAATAAACTAGCCCCCTCGTGAGCAATCTAAAAAAATCTATCCATCACTGTACACTAAATATGTTCTTCACACGCACACACACACACACACACACACACGCACAGTACCTCTTGGACTTATACTTGTAGAAGGTGGTGAAGGAGGTAAGTGAAGAGTGAAGGTGTGAGTGTGAGAACTTATACAGGTGTTAATGAGAGTGTTCCTACCTTATCTCTCTACCTTTCTCACGTTACGGTTAATTGAGGTTAGGTTAGGATAGGTTAGGTAAGGTTACGTTAGGTTAGGTTAGGTTAGGTTAGGTTAGGTTAGGTTAGGTTAGGTTAGGTTAGGTTAGGTTAGGTTACGTTAGGTTAGGTTAGGTTAGGTTAGGTATCACTTCACCTCAAGAATTAATGTGTTGGTGACGTCATCAGAGGGCCAGGAGGTGTCGTCAGAGGAAGAGTGCCATAAGTACACCGCCTGTCAGTGGACGGAGGGACGGTGCCACATGACAGACGACCGTCACGGCGGCTACCTCGTCGGCATCACTGAGGAGACGCCCAGGGGCTATAGGGTCAGTGTTTACTCTTGTTTCTACGTGTAAACAATGACGTCAGAGTAGACACAACGGTGTAAAATGATCCTCAATTGTTTTTATTCTGAACCTAAACATAAAACGTCATAAAAGTCTATCATACTCAAGGTGGTTAAGTCATCATACTCAGCGGTTATCATACTCAAGGGGTTAAGTCATCATACTCAAGGTGGTTAAGTCATCATACTCAAGGGGTTAAGTCATCATACTCAGCGGTTATCATACTCAAGGGGTTAAGTCATCATACTCAAGGTGGTTAAGTCATCATACTCAGCGGTTATCATACTCAAGGGGTTAAGTCATCATACTCAAGGTGGTTAAGTCATCATACTCAAGGGGTTAAGTCATCACACTCAAGGGGTTAAGGTTATTATTTACTAAGATAAAACCCTTAATATCAAGACCAAGACAGACAGGTGTACAAGAAGGACAATATTACAGGTGAACCTCGAGAAAGCCAACGACAAAGTGACTATGTTTGGAGGAGATGTAACTCAGCTGGTGTTTGAGGTCATCTATCACGAAAGTTACCACCTACAGGTCAAGGTAAGTGACCTGACCTACGTGTGTGATGTGTACAGTAGGTCATGTTTAGATAAGGAGCGTTACCTGACCTCCGTATGTGTAGGTCATGTTTAGATAAGGAGCGTTACCTGACCTCCGTATGTGTAGGTCATGTGTAGATAAGGAACGTTACCTGACCTCCGTATGTGTAGGTCATGTGTAAATAAGGAACGTTACCTGTCTCTCCTCACCTGTACACAGATCTATGACCTAGCCCAGGCGCGTTATGAGGTCCCAACACCTCTGTACCTCCCGGAGTCACCTGACGAAGAACACCTGTACGACGTGGGTGTTCAACCTGAAGGAGAACCTTTTAACTTCAACGTGACGAGGAAGTCAACTGGTACCACCGTGTATGTGTCTGTCTGTCTGTCTGTCTCTGTCTAATCTCACTGTCTCTCTGCTTCGTTATCAGATGAAGTAAAACAAAGCAAAACTAAACTATGATTGACCTGTTTAATTTACTTCGCCAGGTGAGCTTTACTATATTAACCTAACCTACCCTACCTTAACCTAACCTTTACATTAACAGGTTCCGTTCTATGGGTCCCCTTACATTTGAAGACCAATTTATCCAGCTCCACACCTGGCTCTGCTCCACCTACCTGTACGGCCTTGGGGAGAACACCCACCTATCGTTCAGGCATAAGTTCAACCCCAGATCTACCTTCCCAATCTTCGCCCGAGACCAACCTGTGGGCACGGTGAGGTCCTACTGTGTGTTGTGGTGGGTTAGGTTAGGGGGTGGTGGCCAGGTGTGTATACAAATGCCTCATTTTAACCTAACCTAACCTCGTACACACTAATCCCATGACCATACCTGTAGTTGTTTACCTGTGCAATATATAGAGAAGAAATATGATATAAACCTACATATTTATACCTATAATTACTGGTTTCTTATCTCCCTTCTCCATTTCCTTCCTTCCTACTTCTCTCATTCTTCCTTCCCTCTCCCCTCTTACCCTCTTCGTCTCCCTATACTTCTCCCTCTCCTTCCCTCTCCTCCCTCCCCCTCTCTCACCATCACAGACACCCATGAATGAGTACGGTCACCATCCTTACTACATGGTGATGGAGGATGATGACGGAAACTCCCATTCTGTGTTCCTCTATAATTCTAACGCCATGGGTGAGTTGTACAGGTGTTGGTATTGTGCAGGTGTAATAGTTGTACAGGTGTTGGTATTGTGCAGGTGTTGTATGAGCGTTGTTAGTGTATAGTTGTTGCTATTGTGTTGTAGAGGTGTGTTATTGAGTGGGTCAGGTGAGGCCAGGTGAGGTGGGGCCAGGTGAGGTGGGGCCAGGTGAGGTGGGGCCAGGTGAGGTGGGGCCAGGTGAGGTGGGGCCAGGTGAGGGGTGGGGCCAGGTGAGGTGGGGCCAGGTGAGGGAACAGGGCCAGGTGAGGGGTGGGGCCAGGTGAGGTGGGGCCAGGTGAGGTGAGGCCAGGTGAGGTGAGGCCAGGTGAGGTGAGGCCAGGTGAGGTGGGGCCAGGTGAGGTGGGGCCATAACTGACACTCGACTATGTGTTCCAACAGAATACTCGACCTATCAGCTGGAGGACAACACTCCAGCTCTCACTCTCAGAACAATTGGAGGAATAATCGACCTCCACTTCTTCCTCGGACCCTTCCCAGAGGACCTCACCATCCAGTACACCAACGTGAGTATCCTACGAGTGTCCTACGAGTGTCCTGTGAGTATCCTACGAGTATCCTGCGAGTGTCCTACGAGTGCCCTGTGAGTATCCTACGAGTGTCCTACGAGTGTCCTACGAGTATCCTGCGAGTATCCTACGAGTATCCTGCGAGTGAGTGAAAGATTTACACCCTAAGTCAGTGTGTTTATATGACTGACTGTTTGATTTTGTTTACATATCTGGCTAGCATTACTATTATCATCACCACCAGACATCATCGTCATCACCACTACCACAACTACCACCATTACCACCACCAGACACCATCCTCACCACCACCATTACACCACCCACCCCCACTACACACCATCATCACCACTACCACAACACCGTCACCACTACCCTCACCACGATCATCACTATTACAGATGGTGGGGACTCCGGCCTTCCCTCCGTACTGGTCACTAGGGTTCCAACTCTCTCGCTGGGGCTACAACTCAACCCAGGGAGTGAGGGAAGCCAGAGAGAGAATGAAGATCATGGGCATCCCGCAGGTCAGTTGTCTAGGTCAGGTACAATTAGTGTCTAGGTCAGGTAAAAAAGTTATCCAGGTGAGATGTGAAAGATACTCAACCTAACCAAATCTACCCCTAACCTAACCTAACCTAACCAAATCTACCCCTAACCTAACCTCACCTAACCTAACTTGCCTTACAGGACGTGCAGACTTGTGACATAGACTACATGTACCGGCACAGAGACTTTACCTACGATCCTGATAACTGGGGGGATTTACCTGAGCTTATCCAGGAGCTACACAACGACAAGCTCAAGGTTACTCTCATATTGGTAAGTGGCTCATTATACTCTACTGGTTCATTATACTCTACTATACATGCTCTACTGGTTCATTATACTCTACTGGTTCATTATACTCTACTATACATGCTGGACTGTATACCTGCATTATTTACATAGTATATATATGTACTTGTGGTAAACTTGTATGGTGAATTTACTGAATAAATACCCACCCACCTCTCTACCTACCCACCCACCTACCTACCTACCCACCTCTCTACCTACCCACCCACCTCTCTACCTACCCACCCACCTCTCTACCTACCTACCTACCTCTCTCTCTCAGGACCCAGCTCTGGTTATAGATTTCGACAACTATCCGCCGTCCAGCCGAGGGAAGGATTCTGACGTGTTTATCAAATGGTCGGATATTAACCTGGTACCGGATGACCAAGACCCGGCAGCTGACAACTATATGGTCGGTTACGTATGGCCGGATAATAAGACTGTCTTTCCGGACTTTCTCAAACCTGAAACTCAAACCTGGTGGAACAATGAAATCAAGCTCTTCCATGATGTAAGTTTGTTCCACACGATTCAAACTGATCCCTGATGTAAGTTTGTTCCACATGATAACTTGAACAAATACCAATAGATTTTTAACTAAGCTTGTCCACTCGATGTAAAAACCTCCTCCTGCAACCTCCTCCTCGAACCTCCTCCTCGAACTTCCCCCTCGAACCTCCTCCTCGAACCTCCTCCTCGAACCTCCTCCTCGAACCTCCTCCAACCTCCTCCTCGAACTTCCCCCTCGAACCTCCTCAAACCTCCTCCTCCAACAGATGCTAGATTTTGACGCCATCTGGATTGACATGAACGAGCCAGCTAATTTCGGTACCAACCTGGAGAAGCCTTGGAACTGGCCTCCTGATGAGCCTGCCTGGTCTCTCAAATGTCCTGATAACAAGTGGGACAATCCTCCTTATCCCACCATGATGATCAGAGTGGGTGACAATCAGAGCAAGAAGATCAGGTGAGGTAATCAGAGTAAGAAGATCAGGTGAGGTAATCAGATTAAGAAGATCAGGTCAGACAATCAGAGTGGTAGAAATAAGACAACTTTACTCATTGTGTTGATATTTTGTTTGTAAATGATGTAGTTTACAATTGTTTACGTATAATGTTTGTTTACAGTGACCACACCATCTGTATGTCCGGGAACCAGACAGATGGTGACAAGGTTTACTTACACTACAACGTTCACTCTCTCTACGGCTGGTCTGAGACTGTCGCTACTTACAAGTGGGTTAATGTCTTACTTTACTGCACTTACAAGCGTTTATAATGCATTTTACTGCCCGTATAAACGTTCATGATACGTTTTTACTCACTTATAAACGTTCTTAATGGCCTTAACTTAATAACAAACGTTAAGGATGCATTTTATTTACTTATAAACGTTTAAGATACATTTGTCTTATAATGAACTGAGGTCTATATAGTTAAGCTTTAAAATGCCTCTCCTGCCCGTAATGCCCCTTAATTAAGCTTTATAATGCCCCTACTGTCCGCCAGGCCCCTTAATTAAGCTTTATAATGCCCCTACTGCCCGCCAGGCCCTTTAATTAAGCTTTATAATGCCCCTACTGCCCGTGATGCCCCTTACTTAAGCGTTATAATGCCCCTCCTGCCCTCACAGCGCCCTGAAGGAGGTATTCCCAGACAAGAGACCCGTGGTACTGTCCCGGTCCACTTTCCCAGGCTCAGGTCAGTTCGCGGTCCACTGGCTGGGAGACAACTCTGCTGAGTGGTCCCAAATGCGCATGTCTATCATAGGTATGTCTTATGGCTTGTCTGAGCTGAGAGTAAACACTATTAATAAGACATATGACCTTTGCTAGCAAGATTTATGGCGGATTGGTGACTGTCTGTCTGATAGTAAATATTAAGACACAAGACTTATTGGATAATGATCCTTGTTAACTAGACATATGGCTGACTATCGACTCTCTGATGAACCTTTTTAATGATCCTTGTTAACTAGACATATGGCTGACTATCGACTATCTGATGAACCTTATTAAATGTCTAACATCTACCACATCTCATCAAGACATGGCTAATGAAATATCTGACCTCCCCTCACCTGTCACTCTACAGGTATGCTGGAGTTCACTATGTTTGGTCTTCCAATGGTTGGTGCTGACATATGTGGCTACTTCAACGAGCCAGATATGGAGATGTGCGCCAGATGGATGGAGCTTGGCTCGTTCTATCCGTTCAGGTGAGTGTCAAGTGTCGTTCTATCCGTTCAGGTGAGTGTCAAGTGTCGTTCTATCCGTTCAGGTGAGTGTCAAGCCATATCTCTCACTAATGTCTCTCAGAACGTCTCTTATAGCATCTCTGCCAGCCATATGTCTCACTAATGTCTCTCACACAGCCGTAACCACAACGCACAAGATACAGGAGCTCAAGACCCGGCGGCGTGGCCAGAAGTAGCGGAGATATCTCGCTACACCCTTAACATACGCTACTGCACTTCCCTTTTGCCTCAATTCTCTTCCCACAAAGGCGTGGTAGGAGAGAGAGAGAGAGAGAGAGAGAGAGAGAGAGAGAGAGAGAGAGAGAGAGAGAGAGAGAGAGAGAGACCTTTGCTACCATACATGTAAGTGTTAAATAAATCTGCTGATACTGTACCATGCTTTACACCTGTGGTCATGTTTACACCTACAGGAGCCATGTTTACACCTACAGGAGCCATGTTTACACCTACAGGAGCCATGTTTACACCTACAGGAGCCATGTTTACACCTACAGGAGCCATGTTTACACCTACAGGCACACATGCACGGACATTCTGTAGTCCGTCCTCTGCTGAGTGTCTTCCCCGAGGACCTGGCGGGGAGGGACGTTGACGACCAGTTTATGTGGGGAGATGGCCTGATGGTCGCCCCGGTACTCACCCAAGGAGCTACTGAGAGAGAGGTGTACTTCCCTCAGGTAAGTCCCTCACTCACTCACAAACATCTACTACCAAGAGAAAGTTCCTCAGATGTCTACTTCCCTCAGGTAAGTCCCTCCCTCACTCACAAACATCTACTACCAAGAGAAAGTTCCTCAGATGTCTACTTCCCTCAGGTAAGTCCCATCCCTCACTCACAAACATCTACTACCAAGAGAAAGTTCCTCAGATGTCTACTTCCCTCAGGTAAGTCCCATCCCTCACTCACAAACATCTACTACCAAGAGAAAGTTCGTCACTGTCCGTCTGTGTGTTCTACAGGCCTCCGCATCATAATTAACAACCCGTCAGAAATGTTAACTAAATATATTGTTATGTGTGGTAGTTAGGCCTTAAATCACCATGTTCTTTATCTAGTTCTTCACCTTATACTTCATATTGTTCATCACCTATTCCTCATCTTGTACATCATCTTCGTCACATTGTTCATCACCTTGTTCATCACGTTGTTCATCACCTTGTTCATCACATTGTTCATCACGTTGTTCATCACCTTGTTCACCTTGTTCATCACATTGTTCATCACGTTGTTCATCACAGGCTCTCTGGTACAACTTGGTGACAGGAGAGAAGACAGCCAGTGGGCCAGCGACCATTACTGTTGAAGCTCCGTTGGAAGTGATTCCGTTGTACATCAAAGGAGGTCGTATCCTTCCTAACCAAGTACCTGCTCTTAATACCGTGGACAGGTGAGATCTAGGCTAAGTGGTAGACTGTTCCATAGGTCTACTAACCTAAGTGGTAGACTGTTCCATAGGTCTACTAGCCTCTGTGTGAATATGTATTTCCTTATATTCGACTCCATGGTAACTTTCCTAGACATAGTCCCTAGTAAGACCCCCACTATCAATCCTAGCTTTACCTCCCTAGCAAGACCCCCAATCCTAGCTTTACCTCCCTAGCAAGACCCCCAATCCTAGCTTTACCTCCCTAGCAAGACCCCCCAATCCTAGCTTTACCTCCCTAGCAAGACCCCCCAATCCTAGCTTTACCTCCCTAGCAAGACCCCCAACTGACAAACACTCTCAACAGTCGACAGAACCCACTTGGGCTGACGGTAGCTCTGGACGGGAACAAGACAGCTTCAGGTGACCTGTTCTGGGATTCAGGTGACGGTGAACACCACATGTCTACTATGTATATGAGCAAGATGGCTTACTATCAGGTGAGTGGTCATGAGCAAGATGGCTTACTATCAGGTGAGTGGTCTACTATCACGAGTTACTACTGATGGAAGGATTGTAAGGGAAATACTATTTATGGTGGGGTAGTCCATACAGTAGTAGTTCACTGTATAATGATAGTTAATAATAGTGATAATACAATACTAGCGATAATACAGTAATAGTGATAATACAGTACTAGTGATAATACCACAATACAATGATATAGTACCGAGAGTTAACCTAACCTAACCTAACCACAGGATGAGCTGACCACGCGTATCATGCACGGGGAGGACACTGTAGCAGGACTCTACATCGACAACATCGACATCTACGGCTTCCCGCAGGACCCGAGGGATATCAATGTAAACAACGTGACCATCCCGACGGAGGACTGGAACTTTGTTGCCGACAGACAAGTTTTGTCCATCACCCTACACGCCCCCCTCGGGGAGTCTCTCAACATCAAGATTCTGTATGATGAAAGTCCTTAGACCTGGACCTGGCCCCTGGGCCTAGCCACTAGACCTGGGGCCCTGGACCTAGCCACTAGACCTGGGGCCCTGGACCTAGTCCCTAGACCTACCCCTGGACCTGGCCACTAGACCTGGGGCCCTGGACCTAGTCCCTAGACCTGCCCACTGTAGGGTAACCATTGTCATTAATAGTGTAAGTGGTCATAGCTCCATAACCACCCACGTCAATAAGGGTCACATTCGTTTTTAACAGAAATAAATACACAATATAAACCTATTTTAGTTATCAATTTCCCGTAATGACATGAAACGAATCTTTACCCGAGGTGGTTGAGGTTAGGTTAGGTTTACAACCAACTAAACGTTATTATCACCTGACGAAGATGATAAATATAACGTCGTGATCTATAATACAGGAGTCATCCCTTATATTATAGCCTTACAGAAAATGGTCCACACAGAGTAACTTAAGAATATGACTCGAAACTTAAGAAAATATTATACACAAGAGAAAAATAAATGATAATATACATGAGGCTATAACAGAGGTTTTAACTATAGGAGTCTATTTACTTTATCCAATACTGTTCTTGATTCCATAGCTTGAGCTGGTACTGTTCCATAGGTCTACTTGAGCTGGTATATTGTTCCATAGGTCTACTTGAGCTGGTATATTGTTCCATAGGTCTACTTGAGCTGGTAGACTGTTCCATAGGACTACTTGAGCTGGTATATTGTTCCATAGGTCTACTTGAGCTGGTATATTGTTCCATAGGTCTACTTGAGCTGGTAGATTGTTCCATAGGTCTACTTGAGCTGGTAGGCTGTTCCATAGGTCTACTTGAGCTGGTAGGCTGTTCCATAGGTCTACCAGCCTCTGTGTGAAGAAGTATTTCCTTATGTTCTTTCTTCATGATAACTTAGCCAGCTTGTAGTCATCTCCTCTCGTGTTGATGGTGCGTAACATGACAAAGACATGACCCGGGTTAATATTGTCCATCACTTTCAGGATTTGCAAAATGTTTCAGTGAGATCTACCTTATCGGGTCTTGTCTGTGTTAGGCCTAGGCTCCTCAGACCACTTGGGTAATACAGGAACGTTCAGGAATAATAAGGTACTTAAATTATACTGGTAAGTGTATTTTAGTGTTACGAGCGGTTAATAAATACTAGGTTAGGTTAATGTATTAGTCTAAGAGGTTTGGTTAGGTTAATGTATTAGTCTAAGAGGTTTGGTTAGGTTAATGTATTAGTGTACAGGGGGTTAATAAAATACCAGGTAAGGTTTGCTGAAGCACGTATTAGTGTACAGGGGGTTAATAAAATACCAGGTAAGTGTATAACAAAACACTTTATTTATGGCGATGATGAAAAAACTTGGCCACGATGAGACACTTAATAAAATAATAATAATAAATATATCAAGTGAAGTTTAAGTGTGTTAACTTGTGTCTGAAGATGTGTGTGTGTGTGTGTGTGTGTGTGTGTGTGTGTGTGTGTGTGTGTGTGTGTGTGTGTGAACGAGATCTATGTTCTGTGTTCACCAACTTAAATTTCAGTGACAAACCAACAATGAATTCACACACACACACACACACATATCTCTTCAGCTGTCCTAATTGGCTCTTTCATATAATTTACCTTTAAAAAAATTTAACTTAAAATTCTGGTTATTGTGTTTTATAGTTAATGAGGGAATGGAATTAACCTGTTCAAGATGGCGTCAATATTATACGGAGACTCGACCTTAACTAGATACGTTCATTTAAAACGTATTTAGTTAAGGTAGAGTCTCAGTGTTAAGTGAAGGTATCTAGTTAAGGTAGAGTCTCAGTGCTAAGTGAAGGTATCTAGTTAAGGTAGAGTCTCAGTGTTAAGTGAAGGTATCTAGTTAAGGTAGAGTCTCAGTGTTAAGTGAAGGTATCTAGTTAAGGTAGAGTCTCAGTGCTAAGTGAAGGTATCTAGTTAAGGTAGAGTCTCAGTGTTAAGTGAAGGTATCTAGTTAAGGTAGAGTCTCGGTGTTAAGTGAAGGTATCTAGTTAAGGTAGAGTCTCGGTGTTAAGTGAAGGTATTTAGTTAAGGTAGAGTCTTATAATAAGCCCCAGTCTTAACTTTCCCAGTCCTAATAGGCCCAGAGTCTAATAGGCCCCAGTCCGATTAGACCCCTGACCTAATAGGCTCCAGTTCTAATAGGCTCTAATCCTAATAGGTTCCAGTTCTAATAGGCTCCCAGTCCTAATAGGCCCAGACCTAATAGGCTCAGTCCTAATAGACCCCAGTTCTAATTAACCGTAATACTAATAGGCCCCAGTCCTCATTAACCTACTCAAATTACTCTTCAAATGGCTCAAACTACACTGAGAGTCCACCATAACTACTTGTGTTTATTTACCTAAGAACTAACACAGTTAAATTGATGCTTATATGTGTATACCTGTCGACTAAGCTCCGCCCCCTTTCTAGCGTCCTTAGCAACCACCAAAATCCATGGAATCTGATTGGTTACTGGTTGCTAAGTAAGTGACATCACTCACTTATTACCCAATCATCTTACAGCCTGACAAAACACATAATGTAAACAATGACAGATGAAAACTTATGACAGATGTGAATAATGAATGATAAAGAAACTTAACGAATTATTTTGCAACTTTTAACAAAATACGAACATGAAAAACACACATACGATACTACCAATAATTTTATATTTTTTTTTTTAGTAATTTTACAGGTTACAGAATCTTCCTAAAACACGGCTGTAATATACGTAAAAGGTAGACTACTGTAATATATAATTCCCTTTACTGTAATACCAACTTTGAGATATTACAAATTACATTTAAATGTAATGGAAACGTAATTGAAATTGATATACAGGTGTAATAGTTCGCAATTAATTAATATAACTCGAAATAGGCATCAAATTATTATTATTATTATTATCATTACTATTATTACTATTATTATTATTATTATTATTATCATCATTATTATCATTATTAAACTAGACATATATTACATCTAAAGTATAATAATCAATTTCATTCACTCATTATCTATTACATTTAAGGTTAATTACCTAGTGAAGGAATTAATTACCTTTTAAGCAAGCCACAGCCGCTGACTAACACCTGTGATAACTAACGTGACAATACACCATTAATTACAGGGGCGTGTGGGCGTGATAACGAGTGTGTGTGTTAATTGGGGGTGACTGTTGCGGTGTGAAGTATCCCAACTTAACAGGGTGGCTGGTCAAATGGGGCCCTAGTTCTGATGGCTGCTGAGTCCTATTGGGCCCCAGCTGTAATGTGTGCTGAGTCCTATTGGGCCCCAGCTGTAATGTGTGCTGAGTCCTATTGGGCCCCAGCTGTAATGTGTGCTGAGTCCTACTGGGCCCCAGCTGTAATGTGTGCTGAGTCCTACTGGGCCCCAGCTGTAATGTGTGCCGAGTCCTATTGGGCCCCAGCTGTAATGTGTGCTGAGTCCTATTGGGCCCCAGCTGTAATGTGTGCTGAGTCCTACTGGGCCCCAGTTGTAATGTGTACTCATGAGTCCTACTGGGCCCCAGTTACCGTGTGCTGAGTCCCACTGGGCCCCCAGCAGCTGTACTGTGTGTTGAGTCCCATTGGCCCAGCTGTAATGTGTGCTGAGTCCCATTGGCCCCAGCTGTAATGTGTGTGCTGAGTCCTACTTGGCCCCAGCTGTAATGTGTACTGAGTCCTACTGGGCCCCAGCTGTAATGTGTGCCGAGTCCTACTGGGCCCCAGCTGTAATGTGTGCCGAGTCCTACTGGGCCCCAGCTGTAATGTGTACTGAGTCCTACTGGGCCCCAGCTGTAATGTGTGAATGGGTCCCAATTATATTGCAGGTTAGGTCTAGTGGTTAGGATAGGTTAGGAAAGGTTACGTTAGTTTACGTTACGTTGGTGTAGGTTAGACTAGGTTAGGTCACAGGGTATAAGGTTAGGTTAGGTTACGCTGGAGTAGGTTAGACTAGGTTAGGTCACAGGGTATAAGGTTAGGTTAGGTTACGTTGGAGTAGGTTAGACTAGGTTAGGTCACAGGGTATAAGGTCAGGTTAGGTTACGTTGGTGTAGGTTAGACTAGGTTAGATCACAGGGTATAAGGTCAGGTTAGGTTACGTTGGAGTAGGTTAGACTAGGTTAGGTCACAGGGTATAAGGTTAGGTTACGTTGGAGTAGGTTAGACTAGGTTAGGTCACAGGGTATAAGGTCAGGTTAGGTTACGTTGGTGTAGGTTAGACTAGGTTAGGTCACAGGGTATAAGGTTAGGTTAGGTTACGTTGGTGTAGGTTAGACTAGGTTAGGCCACAGGGTATAAGGTCAGGTCAGGTTAGTGTGGCACTCTTAGCAGTAGGGCTCACCTGGCACCCAACCCTTGGCAGTGTCCCTCATTATCACACCTGGCACCCTCCTTCAATAGCTGCCATACATTCTCAACTACTTCCATACTACATGACGCTGCTGACGGTGCTGACGGCTGACAAGACTAATATATTCACAACTGACACGTAACATCAAATAACAACTGAACGAAGCAAAAATATAAAAGCCATTGGTTAAGTTATGGACCAACCAGGAGTTATGTCAGCGTTGGTTAGGTTAGGTTAGTTTCAGTAAGGTGAGGTGAGGTGAGGTGAGGTAAGGTTAAGTAGGTGAGGTGAGGTAAGGTTAAGTAGGTTAGGTCAGGTCAGGGTAGGATAGGTTAGGTTAGGTTAGGTTAGGTTAAGTCAGGTCAGGTCAGGGTAGGATAGGTTAGGTTAGGTTATAATTTTGTAGCTGTGAGAGGCACCCTGGCCCTCACAGTGCCAACTAAGTAAATTCTACAAGACCTTCACCGTTGAGATGTATATATAGCTCTCAATAAACACTACTACTGCATTAAATGATGTACATGATGATTAAGGAAGTAAATTTTGATGTATATATAAATATTTACACGAATATATATGACTGATAGTTGTTAATAGTGAAGATTATAAGAATATACAGCGAAAAATATCTCGTGGTGAAGAGCTGTTGGATGACTCTTACCTTTGTGGATTCCAGTTTACCATTAGCAAAAATATTAATAATTTCTTCACACTAACACCTAGTATAATATAGCTAGAGTTATATTAAGAGTGCTTCGTTATCCACTAACACACACACACACGCACACACACACGCACACACACACACACACACGCACGCACGCACGCACGCACATACATGAACCGTTAATTATTATTATTATTATTATTATTATTATTATACATCTTCTTACCCTTTACTCTTTCCCCTTCTCTCCCTTACTCCTCCCTTCCCCCTCCCTTCCCCCTCCCTATCCCCCTCCCTATCCCCCCCTCCATACAGTACAGTAAATCACCCACACCTAGACCCTAACCTAACCTAACCTGTATCACCTCTGGCTATTTAATCTGTCTAATTACTTAATCACCCTAATTACTTATTCACCCTAATTACTTAAAAACACCTAAGAGTTCAGAAACATTATGACAATTTCCTGGAAATTGATTGGTTGCTGAGTGAATCACCTATCAACCAATCAGCTTCCGTGAATTGTGAAGGCTGTTACGGGTTCCATAGATAGATAGATAGATAGATAGATAGATAGATAGATAGATAGATAGATAGATAGATAGATAGATAGATAGATAGATAGATAGATAGATAGATAGATAGATAGATAGATAGATAGATAGATAGATATCCTAAAACAAACCACATCCTTCAAGGGTTCCTACCTACCCACACACACACACACACACACACACACTGTATTTTCTCCCCTACACTCATACACCTACACACATACATACAGAAATACAACCCTAATATAAGTATGTGTTGTATTAAGTTGTATATCATTCACAACACTTGTCTTAATCACTTGTGTGTAAAGTGTGTAAAATTATTGTGTTATAAATTTCACAACTTTTTTTTTTCACAAGATTTCACAAGTGTAATTTAAGTATATTATGGAAGGTATATTATATATATTCTATGACAAATTATACATATCAATTATTATTATAGGTCATATTATAGCTAATTATTATTCACTGGTGTATATTAATTATCTCAATTAATTAATATACCTTTACCCTTTCAATACCTTCCTACCTTCAATTAATACCTGTGCATAGTGTAAGCTTTCAATTCAATTACTCAAGTCATTTTTTTTCATATACTTATATAAGAAATTAACTCTAAATGACTTCATTAATTCTTATAATACAGTTTAATACATCATACAGTATTTGTAATACAGTTTCTCAATACTGTATGGGTAGTGTATTATACAATGAATACATTCTTGAGTCTATTTACCTGTATTGTATCATAAATTGGGTACCCTTAACAATAAATTCTCTTGAACAAATACATTACAATACAAAACCAAATTTATGAATACATTTTTAAATCTGGTTAACCCAAATTCTAATTCCAAGTCTTCTGTCGTAACAATATTTCACAACAGGAGTCAATTATAAACAGTATGACCAATAAACCTCTAATTACAACATAACTTTAGTCTTGTAGTTACAGATAGAGTTGTTATATCGTCTCTTGTTACAACATTCCACAACAGGACAAAATTATGTATATTTTTTATCAAGTTATCACCAGTTACATGTTATCCAGTTGGTAAATTGGTCTAGGTGAAATAATCTACCTTGATATATCACCTGTTAACACCTTTAATTAGTAGAAATACCTGTTTAATAATCTATATGACAGGTTGATGATCACCTTAATAGAAATAATAACTTAGGTGTCTGTTGTTATTTGGGAAATTTGTTTTACTGTAGATAATAATAGCCAATAATAGCTTATATTGACTTGCTGCTATGCTACTACTATTACTACTGTATTATCATTATTACTGTGCTTTTACTACTACTACTATTATTATTACTACTACTACTACTACTACTACTACTATTTTTATCATTACTACTACTACTGTATTATCATTATTATTGTGCCTTTACTACTTCTACTATTACTACTACTACAACTACTTCTTTATGACTTCATCTCAAAGAACTACAACTGTTCCTTACCATATTTTTCGACAACTGAAATATATTTAAGTAAGTTCTACCTTCTAAATCTACTTCACCTCTGAACTAGACACGGACCTTGACCAAAACATCATATAGCTCTCTGTTAGGATGACGGGGCCTTTGCTAGGATGATGGGGCCTTTCCTAGGATGATGGGGCCTTTGCTAGGATGATGGGGCCTTTGCTAGGATGATGGGGCCTTTCCTAGGATGATGGGGCCTTTGCTAGGATGTTGAGACCCTTTGCTAGGATTCTGTGCCCTTTGCTAAGATGTTGGAGGCCCTTTGCTAGGATTATGTGCCCTTTGCTAGGGTGATGTCCCCTTGATAGGATGCGGCAGGTTAATACATTTTTTAACCATTACAAACTACCAAACATATCCTTTCTTACCATTTTCTATGTAAGGATGATGTCACCTTCCTAGGATGATGTCTCCTTAGCTAGGATGATGTCCACCTTGGTAGGATGATGTCCACCTTGGTAGGATGATGTCCACCTTGCTAGGACAATACGCCCTTCCAATAGGATACGTTCTTACTTGAGAGAAGGAGGCTCTTGGGGCCATGGCAGATGAAATAGGACCTTATTTTACTCTGCAGGAAGGATGTGTCCTCACTAGGAAGCTGCTGTAGGTAGGATGTGTCCCCACTAGGAAGCTGCTGTCGGTAGGATGTGTCCCCACTAGGAAGCTGCTGTAGGGGGGCTCTGTGTGACCTCCTGACAGATCTCAACAAAGGCTGGGTCACGCATCACATCACGAATCATATCCTTTAACATGAAGTACCTGGGGACTATTGGGTACATCTTGCTCTCCACGTAATCATCCTGTAAAGGTGAATTGGGTAGTTAGTTGTGGTGTGGGGGGGAGGGGAGGGGAGGGAGTGGTAGGTAGGGGAGGGTAGGGTAGGTAGGAGGAAGGTAGGGTAGAGGAAGGTAGGGTAGAGGAAGGTAGGGTAGAGGAAGGGGGGTAGGGGGTAGGGAGAGGAAGGGGAGGAGGGAGGGGAGGGGAGGGAGGAGGGGAGGGGAGGGGAGGAGGGAGGTGGGAGGGTAAGGCAGGGTAGGGAGGGTAGGGTAGGTTAATAACAACAACAGGTATTCCCTCCACCACAACCAGAGTTACTATAACACTCCCACAACTCACAACAACAACCATCACCTTGAGTTCTCGCATGAGGGTTCTGAGTGATGAGTACTTCCTCAGGTAACGAAACAGCTCATTAGTCAGGCAGGTGTTCTCTTCTAAGACCTGCGAGGTGGTCATCCCTGCAACACACAGTCAACATTATAGACGCTTTTGCAACACATACTCAATATTAGGGACACTTTTGCAACACACAGATAATATTAAGCGTCGTTTGTGCATCATACATTAATAATTGCAGCAACTGATGACAATAATAAACAGTGATAGTTATGAAAGCTTTTGGGTGATGTTGGCGGCTCTGTACTGGAGAGAGAGAGAGAGAGAGAGAGAGAGAGAGAGAGAGAGAGAGAGAGAGAGAGAGAGAGAGAGAGAGAGCCTGACCACACAACATCCTCACATGGGGTTGACTCAACTCCCTACACACACACACACACACACACACACACACACACACACACACACACACACACACACACACACACACACACACACTGCCAGCTAAGCAAGGCTTCCTGAGGCATCAGAGGGCTTACACTTGACTTCACTTCCCACCACCAGCTGGCCAGACATCCAGGTGGCTTCAGGGGAGGAGGGAAGGGGGAGAGGAGGAAGGGGGAGAGGGAGGTGTGAGAGATAAGGAGGGGGAGGAAGGGAGGGCAGGGGAGGAGATGGGAGAGTGTAGGAGGAGGCATGAGGGGAAAGGGTGCGGAAGGAAGGAGGATGTGAGGGAGGAGGAAGGAGGGAGAGAAAGGGGGAGAGAAGGGGGGAAGGGGGAGAGAAGAGGGAAGGGGGAGGAGAAGGGGGGAGAGAAGGGGAAGGGGGAGAGAAGGGGGGGAAGGGGAGAGAAGGGGGGAAGGAGGAGAGAAGGGGGATAAGGGAAGAGGGTAAGGCAAAGGAGGAGAAAAGGGAATGGGTGAGAGATATGAAGGATAGGTCAGGGGAATTCAAAAGTGGTGGGCTAAAGATAAGTGGGAGGGGCTAAAGATAAGTGGGAGGGCTAGATAAGTGGAGGGGCTAAAGATAAGTGGGAGGGGCTAAAGATAAGTGGAGGGGCTCATGACAGCAAGTGGAGCTAGGAGATAAGGGGCGGAGCTATTGATAAAGGGGAGGAGCATGACAAGAGGATGGTGTTTTAATGACTACATTAGGACACACACACACACACACACACACACACACACACACACACACACACACACACACACACACACACACACATTCCTACCGAGTCCTAATCCATCTTAATCTAATAAGGAGGATTAGAGTTAATTAGGGCCATTGGACCAATCGTGGTGGTGGGATTAGGTGAAGAAGCTGACGGATTATGGTCTATTGGAATGTGAGTCACCAGTGTACCTTGTGAGTCACCACTGTACCTTGTGAGTCACCATTGTACCTTGTGAGTCACCAGTGTACCTTGTGAGTCACCATTGTACCTTGTGAGTCACCATTGTACCTTGTGAGTCACCATTGTACCTTGTGAGTCACCATTGTACCTTGTGAGTCACCATTGTACCTTGTGAGTCACCAGTGTACCTTAGAGTCACCAGGTGTACCTTTGTGAGTCACCATTGTACCTCAGGAGTCACCACTGTACTCAGAGTCACCACTGTACCTTGTGAGTCACTCACTGCACCAGAGTCACCATTGTACCTTGTGAGTCACCATTGTACCTTGTGAGTCACCATTGTACCTTGTGAGTCACCATTGTACCTTGTGAGTCACCATTGTACCTTGTGAGTCACCATTGTACCTTGTGAGTCACCAGTGTACCTTGTGAGTCACCACTGTACCTTGTGAGTCACCACTGTACCTTGTGAGTCACCACTGTACCTTGTGAGTCACCAGTGTACCTTGTAAGTCACCACTGTACCTTGTGAGTCACCAATATACCCCCATGACTCACCAACTAACCCCCACGACTCACCATTAAGCCTCTGGGAGTTCTCTCTCTTCCTCTCCTCCTCCTGGTCGGCTCTGTGGCTCTTCTCCGCCTGCTCTTGTGACCGCTGACTCTTCTCCACGATGGTACACGCCCTCAGGACATAGGCCAACACGGGTTCCTGTTTATCCTGGCGGGGGACATCCAGTAGCTGCCAGTACTCCGTCTCAAGCCTCACCACCTCCTGTAGTCATGATGATGGTGGTGGTGGTATTTACGTCATTAACAGCAGGAAAAATAACAGTAATGATGTCAAGAATATTAGTAATGATGTCAAGAATATTAGTAATGATGTCAAGAATATTAGTAATGATGTCAAGAATAATAGTACGATGTCAATAATATTAGTAATGAGATGTCAATACAATAGTACAATGTGTGTGTGTGTGTGTGTGTGTGTGTGTGTGTGTGTGTGTGTGTGTGTGTGTGTGTGTGTGTGTGTGTGTGTGTGTGTGTCAGATATAACTCCTTAACACTCAGGGCTTCTCATTAACATTTTAAACCTCTCAGATCTCCCAACTTTTGAATACTTTATGAACCTACATTAAGGAGGCGTATTTAACACATTTAAGCAGATGGTAAAAATGTGTCTGAACCTAACCTAACCCACACACCTTAAAATAATACCTTACCTTAAAATTTAGCTAAAACACCCATAAAACACCCTAAAACAAACCCCTTACCTTAAAATTCACCTAAAACACCAATAAAAAAAACCCTAAAACAAGCCCCTTACCTTAAAATTTACCTAAAACACCCCTAAAAAAACCTAAAACAAGCCCCTTAAATTAAAATTCACCTGAACTCACCTTAATCATTGCCTTGAGAAGCGAATACCTGGCGAAGACGTTCCAGGTGGTCTTGCTATGGTTATACTGAGTGTGTAACGTCAGGAGAGCCGACCGTGCCGTCTCATAAGCTTCCTCTAGACGGTTCCTGACAGCTCGTAGACGGTGATTGGTGGCGATGGCGTCGTCTCGTGTCTGTCCATCAGCTGTGAGAGATGAGAGAGATAGAGTAAGTTAGAGATAGTAGTGAGGGCTAAATCATGATAGACTACTTTAGGCTACGAGACTCGAAGGTTACAAGACCCTGTAGGTGGAGGTCTCGTGAGGCCAGCAACACTCTGAATGGATCTTCTCAATTTACTGGTAATTTCGCCTCTTGGCCTCTGGCGTAGAGGGTGGACACTGACCTCCCCCCTCCTTCATTTTCTCTCTCCTCTCCTCCCTACCTCGTTCATTTTCCTTCCCCCTCACTCCATCATTCTCTTCCTATTTACTTCATTCCCTCCCTTCGTCCCTCTCTCTCCCCATCCTTCCTTCCCTTCCTCACCCTCTCTCTCACAGGTAAATCATCAGTATTGGAGACTGTCTGCAGATGATTATGTGTGTGTGTGTGTTTGACTGACTGACTGACGGGGTAAGTCCCACAGAAGACAGTCAGTTGCTCAGGTAATCGTCTTCCAGGTGTCTCATTACCAGGAAGATCTACCACAGGTGAGAGGTGAGGGGGAGGAGGAGGAGGAGGAAGAAGGAAGAAGGAAGTATAAGTTTTCCTTGATCTCTCTCTCTCTCTCTCTCTCTCTCTCTCTCTCTCGGTATAAGACACGGGGTCAAAGAGGAGGTCAAGTCAGTGGTTGTTCGTGTATTCAATTTGACGTCCTATTACCTGGGTCTTGCACAGGTGAGGGAGTGTCTACAGGTGAGGGGTGAGAGGGGTGTCTACAGGTGAGGTGAGGTGTCTACAGGTGAGGTGAGAGGGGTGTCTACAGGTGGGTGAGAGGGTGTCTACAGGTGGGTGAGGTGTCTACAGGTGAGGATGTCTACACGTGGGTGAGAGGGGGTGTCTACAGGTGGGTGATAGGGGTGTCTACAGGTGGGGGTGAGGGGGTATCAAAAGTGGGTAGGGGTATAACAAAGGGGTGTGTAAGGGGTATAACCAAAGGGGTGTAGGGGTATAACCAAAGGGGTGTAAGGAGGGTTCAACACCTCTCCATCTCAAGTACAAATTGACTTATTGAACCAATTTTCTGTCGTGACCAAGTTGATAGTCTTGTGTCTGAGAGAGAGAGAAGAGAGAGAGAGACTATCTTATACTCGTAACGTAATAATACTCTTAATGTCAAAATAATTATAAATAATCTCTAACCAAACACAACCTAACCATCTCTTCTTCCTTCATAAATGTCAAGACAAATTCCAACACAGGAATCAATTACATTACCCTCTCCTCCTGCTGCTCCTCCTCCTCCTCCTCCTCCTCCTCCTCCTCCTGCACTCCTCCTCTCCTCCTCCTCCTCCTCCTCCCTGCCTCCTGCTGCTCCTCCTCCTCCTCCCTCCTCCTCCTCCTGCCTCTCCTCCTCCTCCTCCTGCAATAGACCGTTGTTGAGACGTCGTATCTCACCTCGATAACCACAACACAACATAAACTTTTTACAAATAAGATATTTCTAAGGCTGTTATATTTTTTACTGTGCGTATCTCATGTGGGGTGTGTGTGTGTGTGTGTGTGTGTGTGTGTGTGTGTAATAACAGGTAACTCAGGTTTTGTGAAGAATAATTGAAGAGCATTTTTGTTTCTTGGTTTCTGGGTGTGTGGCAATACTCTCTCTCTCTCTCTCTCTCTCTCTCTCTCTCTCTCTCTCTCTCTCTCTCTCTCTCTCTCTCTCTCTCTCTCTCTCTCTCCACAACAGAACAAAAGAACAAGTACTAAGAGATAAACACATCGCCAGGTGAGGAGGCAGGTAAGGTAAATATCATCCAGTATTCACTTTTCTCTAACACTCCAGTTAATGACACACTCAGGTCCTACTCCAGGGTCATACTC